TTTTCCGATTTAAGAGGTCCATCTATAATAATGAGATTTTGTAAGGTTTTGGCCATATGAAACTCTGGGACGTCTTTCTACTCTTGAGTTTACTGAAGGATATTTTTGTAACAGAATATATTTTTATAGCTAATGGATGCAAAATATAGAAAAGTAAATATAATTTGTGACCGCTGAGAAAACTGCCTAATTTAAAAATATTAAATAGTGTGTTTTAGTATAGAAATGCTGTACTTACAGAGGTATAAATATTTAAGGATTTAAGCTTATTTATATCTGGCCCTTAAAAATAGCATACAATTACTGAAAGGCTCCATCAAGATACCAGTATATGTCCAGTTATTGTAATAATGTATCTCTCACTGGAGTCCTTTCCTTCCTCCTATTTAATTTCAAGGCTCAGCTGAACGTTGAACAGAAGTAGTAATTACCTCATGAAAAGGACCCAAAAGCATAAATTCATGGCCAGTTTAATGTAGATTTCAGTTACATTGGTAAAGCCATACTTCTGAGTGTTTTCTATCATTTCATATTATTGATTTTATTCTCTTTAATATTGAGAAATGATGAAAGCACAAATTCAATACAGAATTGAATAGCAGATGACAAATTAATTGGAAATGCATATAATACAAACATTAGTGAGGACAGGCATGAAAAGCCCCAGATTCTTTACCCTTTGTCTCTATTTCATATTTACTCTATGAATAGTGAACATTTCCCATTCCCTTAATTACATGAATAGTATTGTGTAAATATTACAACATTCTTTTGCAAATAATCGATAGACTCATTTAGAGTTTTCTTTCAAAGCACGTGTTCCACTAATAGATCTTGTGAAATTTGTGTTGTTTTCATTTTTAGTCAGGGATTCCTAGAATTCCAGCTTAGACAAACTTTTTGCCAACGTTCCTTAGCTTAGCATTGGTTTTCAGAGGCCACGCTGACATTTTCTCGGGGCCAGATGCCACATGTCCATTCCTACTGGCTTCCTTCTTAGGCTCTTGCTTTTGCCATCCACTTGCTTATCGTGCCGAGTCCAACTCAGTTACGATGTACGTGAAATATTTTCAGCTACGTCCAACGATTTTTATCTCTTCTTTGAACTTAAAGTTAGTTCCTTGCAATTATCCCTAAATTGCTCTCATTTAGTTCGATTGTAATTGTTTTGCCCTCCCAGCTAGATTTAATCTCTCAGCTGACAAGGATTATTCACTCCACTTGCACCACATGCACAGCGAGACACAAGACACAGAGTTGGAGAGACTGCTTGCTGAACAGATCCCATTGTTACTGGGTGATTTCCTCACGGTGGCCACTCACTGCCTGTGACTTCCTGTTAGCTGCTTTTCTCCTCTGAAAGATTGATCAGTTGAATGTGATAAAGAGAAAAAAATGGCATGGCTTTCCATCACAAATCATTTTTCAAGATGATAATTATTTTTACCCAAACGTTTTGTTAGATCTAAATTATCCTAAATTTCATCTGATCTGTAGATTTCTAGAATAAAATGCAATGCAGTTATGATCCTCATTCTACATATTTTCTGGTAAGAGTTCAAAATTCGGTGTCTGAGCATGTTGCTAGAATAGTTAGGACACCCCAGCCTGAAAGTTTATCATTGTTTAGGAACCTGCATGATTGGGTTTTCTTACATTCTTTTTTAAATTCCACAGAATGCTAAAGGATGAATTTAGGGAAATTTGGGTCTTGAGAATGATGATCAGATCCTCAAAACGCAAACATCTCACAAGGTATATTGGTTGTCTTTACTAGGCTTGGAAATGGATTATCACAGACACCGTTATTTTGTCTTTATTTTGCCCTAAAAATGGCATTATCATAGGCCCCACAGAAAACAAGAATCTCTTACCGTTGTGATAGCAGAGTCTCCTATGTCAAATAGCCTGCTGTTCTCTAGCGGTCAGCAGTAGATATGGAATTGCCCTTGTGATCAGTAGCTTGTGCTACATGTCTCACTTGCCCCCAACATAAATCTGAATTAATCAATCCATTCTTTAAAAAGAACAAAACCACCAGTTTCAACAGTGGAAGGGTAAGAGAACTGGGGACCTGAGAGAACATTAGATGCCCTGAAACTTACTGAGCAAGGCAAGGAAAGATGATTTGTTTTATTTCTTCAGGAAATCCTTTCCCCGTATTTCTGACCCTACCTACCTGTCCCATTCCTCCCCCTGTACCCTGGAGGGCTGTTAGGACTAAAGCCAGGACTTTATTCCTTTTTCCACCCACTCCCACCTCCAGTTGCCTCCTCCATATCTGGGAATAGGTGCCCGAGGTGGATCTGGTCTGTTAGCCACCAAATAGTGAAAACCTGCTCTGACATAGGGACCGTGCCCGCTGAGGATATAGACACAGTGTGCCCTTCATGAAACTTAGCTTTTGATGGCAGATCGAGTACTATTTCCTGGACTGTGATTCTCACTGCAGGAAGTGGGGAGGACAGCATACCTTCCTAGGAAGATGTATCAGAATGTCATACAAAGAAAGCCTTTTTAGTCTTCAGATTCTGATAGGTCCTCTCTGGGGAGGTTGTCTTCTCTTGTACGCCATTCCGATTTGAGGATCACTGGTGCTGTTGGAAGAGGTTGCTGATGGGAGCACAATGCTCCTGCGAATAGTGAGGGGGCAGAGCAAAGGCTGCGATTTACGCTTTCTGCAGGCTGCCAGCACATTGCTCTCACACTGTCACAACACCGAAGGCAAAGAACGAATCGGAATGCTGTGAGACCACAGAAACACTTGATGTCTGTTTGACGCCTTTTACGATTTAGTAGTAATGAAACTCAGGATCCTTAGGCCTGAAGCCTGCTGGGACCTCCACAGTACCTGGCTGTTAAATCAGATGAAACAGCAGGTGATGGGGTCAGTCCTATCCCTGGTGAGTAGGAAAGGGAGTGGAAACTGAAGAGAAACCCGTAGGCTTACAGAGTGAACCAGCAAAGGAAGAAAAACAAAAACAAAACTATATGCCCCAGTATGCATTTACTTGGGGTATATTTGGCAATGAAAAAGATTCCAGGAAAATGGGAATGGACTTGGGGGCGGGGGAGGGAGGTCACATGCAGTAATCATGTGGAAAGCCTGAGGTAGTTCCTGCCCCACTGAGGCTGAGGAACTAGGCTGAGACCAAGCCTGCAGATAGAGCCAAGGGGTAAGGGAAGGCAGCAAGAAAAAAACAAAATGAAGACTGACAGATCCTCCCAATACTTACTGTGTTGTAAAGGCTACCAGATAAGTCATCTCTCTCTCTCTCCCTTTCTCTTTTAAAAGATTTATTTATTTATTTTAGGGGTGGGGAGGGGCAAAGGGAGAGAGAAAATCTCAAGCAGACTGCGCTGAGCAAGCAGCCCAATGTGGGCCTCCGTCTCATGACCCTGAGATCACGGCCTGAGCTGAAATCAAGAGTCAGATGCCCAACCAACTGAACCACCCAGTCTAAGCCCCAAGTCTTATCTCTCTTAATAGGTGGTCACAATTATTTAGATCTAAGGAGGTGAGCCAGGAATATAGTAATTGAAAAAGCAGATACAGTCTGCTTATGATAAGCTCTGCAAAGAAGTTACTACTGGAACTCTACTACATGAGGAAGAACTAACACACACGTGTGCTAGTAGTAAGTTACATTTGTAAACTACTTTATAGTTTTTAGAGTGTGTTTTACCTATCATCCAGGTTACTCTTGTCACAGTCCATGATGTACAGAAGGCAGGTACTATAAGGCTTTAAAAAGTTGGAATGACTTCCTCTGGCTCATACTTCTAAATGGCTGAACTTAGACTTGAACTCACACAGGTCATCTTCCCTTTTCCACTGAATATAATGTGGAAGTGCTCCATCCTGGCAGTGGCAGGATTTGGAGGACCTGCATAATTCCTAATTATGTTCTAGGTTCTCAGGTACAAATTAAGTTTTCCAGATTTTCAGAATACTCTGTAAAATCTTCTCTACCAAAAAACAAAAAAAAAGCAGCACCAAAATTTACCAAGGTCATGAAAGTAGGTTGATCCTGAGTATGAAATTGATTTACAGTTTTCTTTATTTGCATTTAATTACAATACTAACATGCAGTGTAAACAAGGATATAATTTATTAAGGTATAAATAATTGGCACATTGTTTTTGTGTTGTTTTCTCACAAGTTGACGATATGTATCTGTTATGCTTTAAACTTTTTTTTGGTGTTCTTAAAATAACGAGTTTGCATATATATATTGATAACTGCGCATCTGTTTGTTCTCTGAGAATTATCCATGATGGAGCATTGTCCCAGGCCCTCTCGGCTTGAACGCTGCCTCACATGTTGTAATGCAGGAGCATGTATTGTGCATCTCTGCTTTAGATCAAAGGGCAGCCACTGAGCTCCTCTCAGTGCCTGAGAGGGGGCCTCTTCTCTCTGCCATAAATCGGTAAGCACCTTCTACAATATAGAGACCCCGTCTTTCAGGCTGCTTATATGTGAGTGTGACGAGAGGTGGAGCAGTGCAAGAGTCCAAAAGGCAGTTGTTAGAGCATGTCACGTGGGGGCAGCCTAGCCGTAGCAGGTTGGGACTCCTTAGTCCTTCTTCAAATATGTGCAAATGTATCTCTGATTATGCTACTGAATTCTGAACAACAGACCTTTCTTTATCCTGGTTTGCGGAGTCCCCGGAGTAGAGACTAATTGTGCCCTAGCGTGTAGCAGTTTTGTAGTCTAGAAAAAAAATGCTTGTTGGAGACTAGCACGAAACCACTAAACTCATTTCATCACCTGCCTGAGAGGGGCTCTGAGCACAGGTTCTGGAGGTGAAAAGGTACTGTTCTGTTCCTGCTTCCAGCAGCATCTCCCGTTCAGCGGCGGTGGGGATGGACTCCCAGCTCCTTCAGCGCCCCGGCTGGTCCCACTAGAGATTTTAAAAATCATTACTATGACAATGTTTCTGTGTCATTCTGTCCTTGAAAAAGCACTGCCATTTAATTCACACTTCCGTTTGTTACAGAGAAAGCAGCAGCTGCCAACGTAGATGAAGTGCAGAAGTCAGACGTGTCGTCGACCGGGCAGGGCGTCATCGACAAGGATGCGCTGGGGCCTATGATGCTTGAGGTAGCCTACCCTCGTTCTGGTTCTCTACCCTACCCTCTTGGTGGTCTTCATATTATTACGTTTAATTTTCAGGTGAATGTAATTTCAGGACAGTCTACACTTAATTTTCACTCATAGGGCTGGAAGTACCGCTGACCTCTGGAGCTCACTAGTATATATTCATCTAGCTCCCGATTTCAGCCTACATACATTTCCCAGTAATAAGAGAGAATCACATGAACTAGATTACAATATAAATTGACAGAGTGAGCATTCATTTTGGAAAACCATGTTCACAAGCCCTATTAAATTCTGCAATATAATTTTCATTTGAGATGGTCCCCCAATTTTTAGATTTTATATATGCCATATACATATGTCCGTATAGGCAGGTTACAGTTCGAGGACCAAATGCAGGTTTGTGCTTTTTATTTATGCTACTTCAAACTAGTTTATCTCATAAAGATGAAAACTGAAATAATAGGCAGAGCTGTTAAGATGAGCATCACAAATGTAGTGGTTGGTCTTAACTCCCTGTTCTTTATTAACTTTCGGAAGTTTTATGACCAGACTACCATCTAGAATTTGTAAAGTCTAGCTTTCTTGTTTTATTAACTAGTACAGTATTAAACATCAAGTGCTTTGCTGTACCTGTTCCAAAATTAAAATTCAAGATGTAGGCTATGGGAAGATGAGGGAAAAAATGTCGGTGAATATATAACAAGAAGCAGAGGAGCCCTGAGACATAAATTATGTCAGATCTCAGGATAATTTACTCTGCCGATGATATGATGAGATTAAAAAGTACCACGTGGCCGGAAGCTGGGCGTCATCGCCATGTAGAATCATTTAACTTGTGGCAATAGCTGCACCTAGATGAGAAAGTAGGATTTTTAAAGCAAGGATCACCAATAATTGCCCCTTTCCTTCAGTTGGTGCATGTGATGATTTTTATTTTTAGAAAATTTCATTCTGTGAAAATGTATCATACACTTGAGGGTGGGGGGGGAACACAGGAAAAATTAAAAATTATCTGATCCAGTCTTTGTATTTAGAAATGACAAAATTCTTGGAGCTGGACCTGCTAGCCAAAAGACTTCAAATGACCCCGTGTTGTCCCTTGCTTATTTCTCTTGCGTCACTAGCTTGACAGTATCCAAGTACAATTTTCAGGGAAAAAGCAAAACACACTTAACCTGATTTTCCAGAGTCAACAGGAAAACCAGAGTGCTGCTTCCTGCTTGGTTCTTAGAAACAGATAAGAAAACTCTTAACAAGGTGGACTATTTAGAATTAGATGAAAGTAGATAAGTTTCTGTGGGAAAACATTTAATTATAAACAGAACTGATTTGAAAATTATGGTAATCTAAATTATTAGATTATTAGGAAATTCCCAGGTATCTGCATTGATTCCCTATGTGGGGGAAGATTACAGTAGGGTGGGAACTCCTGAAAAGATTTTTGAGGCTTCTAAAAAGAAATGTTTGGAGTAACCACAAGACTATGAATTCAGGCCCTCTTGAGAGGAAGTTCATTGATTATGGAAATCAGATTGCCGGGTATCAGTGGGCCTTCTCTCATAAAATCAGACCAACATTTTTACTGTTTAAAAATAGCCTTCTGAGAATTCAGTGTATTCAGACTTGAGCAAGTATTTGTGTGGCAGGGCTTTGTGCTGCATACGTTAGAGAGCTAATGCTTGAATCTAGTGACTTAAGGTTTGAAGTCTTTATCCCTGTTTACATGGAACAATTTAAACAGGGAAAACTTGTTCTCGTTGAGCTGTTCCTAGGCATAGATGCACACTCATGCTTACATCATAGCATAGTGGTTGCTAGGCAACAAAACCAAATGTCAGCTTTTTTCATCAGAGCATATCATAGTGTACTTTAAAAAAAACACGGTCTTATAAGATGAAACACTTTCATCTTTCAGTCATACTGTGCTACAAATCAGTCTTTTTATCATGGTAGAAAGCAGTGGGAAGCTCTTTGCATTTTCAAAAGGGAGCTATAGGTAATATAATTATGAAAATCCCTGTGAATGTATATCTGAAGCAGTTAGTATAAAAGGACATGTGGCACGTAACTAATCAACTGACTTCCTTTCCCTCTTCATAGACCTACACCCGCATGCACTTACTTACATGAGGTTTTCAAGGGTTGATGCCAACCTGTTATGGAAGGCCATTTACATACAGTCTCGCTTTGCCCGGCATATTGTTTATACCATTGGTAAAACCTGACAGAATATTTAAGAAAAACTTAAAATTGAATGGTGGTTTGTTGTTTTTTTTTTAAGAGCTTTTCACTGGTGCCTTATGGTCATTTCTAATTTGAGAGAGCACTTAGTTTTGTGATGAAAATAGAATTAAAGATGGAATATATTCAAAGAAAGCTCACAGAATAGCCTGTTAAATAATAACTTAAGGAAAAAGCAAACTAGGATAAAAGTAAACACTTCATGCCCCATCCATACACATTGTTATATCAATATGTACGTGGAACATGCACGTCTAAAAATAGTAGTAAATACATAGCACGGGGTAACTGTGACACAAACTGGGTAGACCAGGTGGCCCTGTTTCGAGGTATGCCTGATCAATATCAAGCCTCCTCTAGTCTTGATCACTCACCTCATCTATAAAACAGGACTCTGACAAGCACAGATCAAAAAGGGAAAGGAGGAGTCACTAAGAGAAACTGCCTGAACTCTCACCTTTTATATCACCAAGGTGAACATGATAGGAAAAGACTGGGGTAAATACTGAAGTAGAACACTCTGCTGCAGAGTAATCGTAAGCATGAGCTTTTGAGTGCACCTGGATTCAAATTCCAGCTCTGCCACTGAGTTGCAAAAGCTTATGCAAATCACTTCACCTCTTAGAGCCTCAATTTCTTCCTCCTCTGTTAATTGGAGAAGGTAAAACATTCCTTCCAGAGTTGTAAATATTCAGATGACACAATGTGTTTAGGCACAGTAAACATGCTTGGTAGTTATTCTCATTATCTTTATTTCTTGAAATGATCCTGGAGTCTTTCTGTCCTTCCCTGATCTAGACTGGAATGACAACAAGGAGGAGTGAGGTCAAGCCACACTGCAGGAAAATTCTAATGTTATCTAGGTGGTTAGGGACCTGCATCTCCATGACCTTGGAGAACAAGTAATAGAGAAGGGCACAATTAGTTAACTTTCCAGTTCTCACTGTCAAAAACTAAAACCTCAAGTCCCCTTCCAGTCTTCAGACTCTACTGGTCACATCTCAGCGTGCGGTCCCCATTGCCATTATCAGAGAGACACTTCCTTCCCAGACCCTTTTCCCAAACAATAAAGGATTGACGTTTGAGAACATCTGCAGTTCTTTTCATTTAAACCCTGGCCACTTTAAAGGTGGCAAAGTTTGGGGTTTTTTTTTAATCCTTAAACTGAAGGAAAATTATTGATGACCCTTTCCTCCCATTGTATTGCATGAGAAACTATAGAACATAATTACTTTGTACTGGGTTGGTAACATAAACGTTGTTCTTGGCCAGGTGGAGTCCATCAATATAATTTGTAAAATACAGATAAATGCCTGCACTTACGTGGTAGTAATTATCTCCTGATAAAATAACAGTTAGTATTTGTCATTTAGTTTGTGACAAGAAACCCTGATCTAGGCTCTCTCCCACTTACTAAGATGGAGTCATTTCATCACAAGAAAATGTACTAGTTTTTTCCCCAAAACTAGGAGAGGGGTTGAGAGAGACAGAAATCTCTTTTCTCTCCACATGTGAATTACACCTTTCCCTTAAAGGGATCCTCCCTTCTTAACAACTGCATATGATTTTCTGTTGTGTCCTTTCTAACACAATTTGTGCCTTTTCCCTTAGGCCCTTGATGGGTTCTTCTTTGTAGTGAACCTGGAAGGCAACGTTGTATTTGTTTCGGAGAATGTGACCCAGTACCTAAGGTATAACCAAGAAGAGCTGATGAACAAAAGTGTATATAGCATCCTGCATGTTGGGGACCACACTGAATTTGTCAAAAACCTGCTGCCAAAGTCTATAGGTAAATGATTATCTGCTGGGGTCTCCCTCCTCCCCCAGGCACACATCGTCTTGGTTGGAGAGGGTCACATAGAACTGGGTGTTCTGTCAACTGGGGATAAGAGTAACTGGGTAGTTCTTTAGAGAGACTTACATTAAATATTTAAGCTTGAAAGTCCTGGAGAAGAGGACATCTGCAGATAGGGATCTTGAATGAATGATTGTTTTGATCCTGTATTTAAAGTACATGACAATTATTCAGATGGAAAGGACTCCTGTGGCCACTGTTGTCGTGGGGTTTGTTTCAGTGTTTTTTTAAGAGGGTGCCACATGGCCTCCCACTCCATCCAGTGCCAGCCACCTCCGATTTGTGCTTCTTGGCCATGGCTCTAAGAAGTAGTAGGTCGGGAGAAGTTTGAGGTTTGACATCAGAAAAACAAAATTTTGCGTGCTGCTCGCGAAGAGAGTATGTATGTGGGTGCCTGCAGCCTTCTGAAGATTCGACGTTAAGGAACAAGGGGCATGTAGAGGGTCGGATGCTCCCAGCCCGGCAGCCCTGAATGGGCTCTTTGGTTTCCCAGATGCTTCGGTGGCTCTTCCCCCGTACCCACTCTCGCTGTCCCACCCATGTTGCTGACTTCCTCTCCCTCTGAAGATGCTGTCCAAAAGTGTCCGGGAGTATCGAAGGCCGCACTTTAAAGTGGGTGGCTCACGGCGTGGGCCCACCTTACCTGCTGCTCCAGAGTATGAACGTTCCCACTTACTAAGGGGTTCTTTTTTTAATATTCTCACTTAGACTGATGATGCTCAGAACATCTTCACAGATAAAAGGAAGTGCATATTTTAGTACAGAATAAGGTCAGGTCCTGAGTTAGCAAGTATTTCTGTTCTTTTTTTTTTTTTCAAATGGTTTATATTAGCCGGTCTTAACTGTTAACCACAGTAAATAGAAGAAGGCCCTTTTTAAATTCCATGATGGCTAGCTTTTCCTTGGTATGATAACCCTTTGTTCAAAGTGACTGCAACAGTAACACAAAACATATGCATATTCATGTGAGAGTCTTTTATTATATTCTCTAGTAAATGAACAAGAAAATGGGATTTCTTAGTTCAAGTAACTAGTATTTCAGATCTCTTCAGTAATTTGATGACTTCCTCAAAGGACCCATACTTATTAATTCACTATTATTAATTCACTTGTCTATAAAGAGCTCTTTTCTTGACTTTATACTGTACTTTTTTTATGTTTTAAAATTACTTATTAACCTGAGTTAATAAGAACTCTTTTTTCTTCTTTCATTTCTCTGTGTAGTATCCATTATGGAAATAAGCTTTTAAGACTACTGATGGCGGAAGAAACCTCCCAAATGTCTGCATAGACGTATAAAGCTAGCTATGGTTCCTAATGTAATTCTAAAACAGTTTCTTGCAGTTAACTTGATATTTCCTTTGTTCTTTCCAGGGTGTGTTTTCTTTTTTATTCCTTGGCAGCCCAGTGGCTATGCACTTAGCGTTGCATTCACCAGAACACCTAGATGTCTTTTTAAGTATTTTCCCACTAGGGAGCTTTGAGAGTATGTTTGCTTATCTTATCACTGGCCCTTTTTTTCCGATCCTCTTTCATTGTCCTACTGGTCGTAATATTTTTCAGATAAAACATAAAGAACAGTAAAGAAAAGAATACCAAAATGATGATTAGGATTGGTTCTGATTCCAGCTCTTCTAGTAGCTGAAGATCTTTCTCATAGGTTTTTTCATCTGTGGAATGAGAAAGTGGATCTGATGATCCATGAGAACAACCTTACAGTCTCCAAATCAGTCATTCTTTTATTTCCCTTGATTTCTTAAATTTCCCCAAAGTGTCTTTCCTCTGTGTCATTCTCTCTTTCTTGAATTAATACATACATTTCTAAGTATTGACACTAAAGGAGAAGACCTGTGAAGTAACCTTTCACTTGATAAGAAATAAATGACATTAGCAGTGCCTCTGTGGGGATTTTTCAGTCGAATTGAGGAAATGTGCATGAAATAGAGTAATTCAGCAACAGCCAAGTTATAGAATACACACCAAAATTTGTAAAATTCTACAAAAGAAGGATCTGGGAGAGAAGGCAGAGTGGGGATCTCGGCCTCAGAACAGGGTACATCGGGGTGGGAGAAATAGCGGCCACTGGACACTTGAGATAAGGTGGCAGGAGCACCGGTGTCCGTGTGGGACCAGGGGTGGAGGATGGTGGGGGAGGCTTGTGCTGGCCAGTGTGGGAGATCTGGTTAGAGGGATAAGGTGGGGCTGGTTAGTGAGATTCCATCTATCAGTTCGAATGGCCTTCATAGCCCTGACTACATCAAGGCAAAATCCTTTTTAAGAACTTAATGCATGCTGTAAGTTGGTGCCAGTTCCAGATTTTTGAGCAGGGGGTAACATATCTCGGGGTAAAATATCTACCTAAAGTACAAGTAGGTTGAACTAAATTTCCAAGAAATCAGAGTAAGGAAAACCCAAAAATGAAGAATAGTGTTCTAGTAATAATTAAACAAGGCCTGAACCTGAAGGGAAGGAGTCAGCGTGAAGTGTAAGAGGCGTAGAAGTTATTTTGAAAATCCCAAGCATTTTCCCAAATTGTTAAAACATTAGCAGCGTTTTGATAATTTGGCAGCAGCGAGTCTGATGTTAGTTTCTTTATAATTATCGGATTGCTTTTGCCTCCCTCAGTGAATGGGGGATCCTGGTCTGGCGAACCTCCTCGGCGGAACAGCCATACCTTCAATTGTCGGATGCTGGTAAAACCTTTACCTGATTCAGAAGAGGAAGGTCACGATAACCAGGACGCACATCAGAAATATGAAACTATGCAGTGCTTTGCTGTCTCTCAACCAAAGTCCATCAAAGAAGAAGGAGAAGGTAGGGCCAGATCTGTAGGATATCTTACATATCTGTGTATTTATTCCTGTGCTACTTTTTTCATACTTAATTATCTAAAATGAGTGGCCACACAAAGAAAAATTTAGAAGTGGTTTCTTCATTCATTTTAACCTACTTAATTTTTGTGATAAATTCCTTTTTTTTTTTTTAAAGATTTTATTTATTTGTCAGAGAGCACAAGCAGAGGAAGCAGCAGAGGGAGAGGGAGAAGCAGACTCTCAGCCGAGCAAGGAGGCCCGATGCAGGGCTGAATCCCAGGACTCTGGGGTCATGACCTGAGCCGAAGGCAGACACCCAACTTACTTGAGCCACCCAGGCGTCCCATAAATTCAATTTTTAAGTCTTTAAAACAGCACTCTCCAACAGAATGTTCTGCAGTGATGGCAGTATTATATATCGTCCATGTCCAATGCAGGCCCCACTAGCAGCATGTGGCTACTGAGCACTTGAAATTTCAGTAATACAATTGGGGGCTGAATTTTCTATTTTATTAAGTTTACATTTACACAGCCACTAGTGGCTACCCTGCTAGAGAAGCTCTGTTAGTGGTTAAGCTTCCCAGGGATCCGAGGCTCCACTGAATGTCTACTGCAAGCAACGAGCCACAGACCTAGAAAGATACACAAGTACAAACAATATTTTTCATATACTTTCCAGGGGTTAATGGATTCCGTATAGTTCATCCAGGGATGCAGGTCCATAATATGGTGTAATAGAATGATACTTAAGAGAGGATGGAGATGGGAGTGAGTGATGGCGAAGATCTCAGGCCCTTCCCCTTAAAGGACGCTGCTGTAGCGTCCACCCCCCCACCCCCCGTATCCTCCCAAGTAAGCCCTTCTGTGCCACCAAGTGACCCTCTCTCCTACGAGGCAGTGCTGAGGAATGCATTCTGCGTACAGAGTAGAAGAGAAAGCATAGAAGAGAAAGCGTGGTGGGTGGGAACCTCATGGGCTTTATCATCAGACATGCCAGCTCCTGAGTCAGCCACTTACCAACTCTGGCTTTGGGCAAGTTTTTTGACCTCACTGAGCATCAGTTTACTCTCTCTTTTTTTTTAAGATTTTATTTATTTGAGAGAGAGAGAGACAACGAGAGGGAATACAAGCAGGGGGAGTCGGGGAGGGAGAAGCAGGCTTCCCACCAAGCAGGGAGCCCGATGCGGAACTCGATCCCTGGGATCATGACCTGAGCCGAAGGTAGACGCTTAACGACTGAGCCACCCAGGCGCCCCCACTCTCTTCTCTTATCAAGTAAAGTCAACAATCCCAGTATCAGAATGTAGTCAGGATTAAACGAATACGCCTGAACCATGATCGACATTAAATAATCCAGAGTGTCCGCAACTTACGATGGTTTGACTTACTTTTTTTTTTGACGTTAGGATTGTCGAAAGCCATACACAGTCAGTAGAAACCCTACTTCAAATTTTTTAATTCGGTTCTTTTCCGCGGCTAGCGATATCCCTACAGTCCTCTCTCAGGATGCTGGGCAGTGACAGCGAGCCATAGCTCCCAGTGAGCCGTGCGATCACAAGGGTGAACAACTGGTACACTTACAACTGTTCTGTACCCGTGCATCCGTTTTGTTGTTCACTTTCAGGATAGTATCTAGTAAATTACATGAGATGGTCAGCACTTTATTAAAACACAGGCTATGTGTGAGATGATGTCCAACTGTAGACTAGTGTGTTTGAGCACATGTAAGGTAGGCTTGGCTAACTCATGATGTTTGGTAGGTTAGGTGTATTAAATGCATTTCTACCTTTCAATATTTCATCTTAAAATAGGTTTATCGGGGGGGGCCTGCGTGGCTCAACTGGTTGAGCATCTGACTCTGGATTTCAGCTTAGGTCATGATCTCAGGGTCCTGGGATTGAGCCCCAGGTCAGGCTCCACACTCAGTGAGGGGTCTGCTTGTCTCCTTCTCTCTCTGCCTCTCCCCCTGCTTCTGCTCTCTCTCTTTCGCTCAAATAAATCTTAAAAAAAAAAAATAGGTTTATCAGAACATAACCTCATTGTAAGTTGAAGAAGATCTGTAGTTCATTCTTTTTGAAAAAAAAAATGCAAGTAATTTGTAATTTAAATTTTATTGAAAAGTAATGGAACTCTCATAGATGACATAATTTTTCAAAATTAAGTTTTTATGTAAGTATGCAATGTTGAGGGATTTTTTTTTTTCTTTCTATGCAATAGACTAAGTGCTGCCAGTTACCCATCTAGGATACTGTTCTAAAGTGGTATAAAAAAGGTATAGCTGATCTAATTTGTGGTTTTGTGCTGTATATTTAAACATTTTTGTACATTTAAAGTCTGGTTCTAAGATGTTAACACAATATGGCGTGAGAGTGGGGTTTCTGAGCCATAGTGTGCTCAGGTTCGAATCTTGGCTTCACCAGCTTTGTACATTGTTGGGCAACTTACTGAAACTCCGCGCTGTGGTTTCCTCCTGTGGTAAATGGGGAGAACACCAGAGCCTGCCTCGTAGAGCTGTCACTAGGACTAAGTGAATCAGTAGCCTCTAAAGCAGCTAAAAAGATGTCTACCTCGTAGTAAGTGCTCAAAAATTTAGCTTTTTATTATGTTGAGAATGAGGATTACATTTATATTTGAGATACCCACTATTACTGGATATATCAAAGAAATTCTTTCCCAGACTTAAAGATGAACAGTCATAAGTCAAACAAACATAAAATATGAAGACTATTTTTTTTAACCTTTTTTCCAGCATTTTTGAAATTGAAAAATCTACCCAGTGTGCTCTGCATGTTACAAAGATAAATAAAACATTTCCCTATTCTCTAGAAGTGAACAAGGGTGAATAAACCAATTGAAGTGGCTAAGTAGTAGTAAAGGCTCAGCATTGGCTCTGTGAGAAACTAGCCAGGGCTGAGATTCTAACCGGGCATGCGGCTGTTCTGGCACATACGACACTTTCCAGGACTTGTTCTCTGAATTCGCCTCCAGACTCAGTTTATAGTCTTTGTTGTAAAGTGCATATTGCCATTCTAGGGCTAGTTACATGGTTGGCTAGAAGGTATATCTAGTGTTCCTGTAGCGTGATAAACCAAAAACTCAAGAAGCAAACCCTTGGCAGATCAGAGTATCGGATTTTAGTTTTCGTCATTTGTGTACTTAACATTGAACTTGGCTGGTTGTCACTGTCAGCCATTGAATAAGAAGGGATTACGTGCTCCCCCGCCAGCCCGTGGGTGGACTTCTGCAGCGTGTGTCCTGTGGCTTCAGCCGTTTCCCCAACCTCCCCCAGCCCATCCTACACAGCACACCCTAGCCTGTCATCCCCCAGCGGCTTCCCACTCAGGCAGGGAGAGAGTGAAGTCAGTGAGCAGCAGAGGTGCATAGTGTTTTGCCATTCCCTCCTGCGTTGATTTACAAGGTCGTGTTATCATAAATACATTGGAGTTTGTGTGAATCACTGAAAAAGCCTCATATGGTAACCATAAATGTATGTGATTGAAGATTTGCAGTCCTGCTTGATTTGTGTGGCACGAAGAGTTCCTATGAAGGAAAGACCAGTTCTTCCCTCGTCAGAAAGTTTTACTACTCGCCAAGATCTCCAAGGTACCTTTTCTTTCCAAAGAATATCTACATATTTGTAAGGCAGGGAGTCTGTTTAGAAGATTGCGAAGAAGCAGGGGACAGTGACGGACACTGGGGCGGAAGCATCCAGGGGCCGCAGGAAGGAGAGGGAGGGACACTTATTTTCACTGTCTGCCCTTTTGCTTCGTGTACTTGTGCTACCTAGTCTAAATAAATAAATTTTTATATTTTAAAATGTTAATCACTCCCATACATAATAGATGAGTATGTAGGTGTAATGCTTGCTGTTATTTAATAGGCAAGATCACTTCACTGGATACTAGCACCATGAGGGCAGCCATGAAACCAGGCTGGGAGGACCTGGTGAGAAGGTGCATTCAGAAGTTCCATGCACAGCACGAAGGGGAATCCGTGTCCTATGCTAAGAGGCATCATCATGAAGGTAAGCATCTCTCCGTGATATTTCTCTTGAAGTTGACGTAGCTTTATGCTATATTCCTGCTTCCTGTGGGAGCTTTCTCTGAAACAGTGATCCTGAGGTTCACCTCAGGAAACTTGGATCTGTTGACTTTTTGTGTTCATGTGTACTTGCATCGTCTGGCCCAGAAAATGTCGCCATCTAAAGGAAAATTTAATAGAAACCTGTGGGACAGAAGAATGAGATAAACAGCAGATAATTTCATAAAAACAGAAGAAAGGGAAGGGAAAGAGGTCATTTTCTCTGATCCTAAGGCTTCTGTATGTATAAGACTACATAATAAGGTGCCATTTAATATCAAAAGAAATCTCTGAATCATAAGGAAAATCTGGAAATAAGAATGAAATGAAATTTGCAAGAGCAGCTGAACTCCCAGTAGAGGTAACAGTGGGGTCCCAAGCCCTCCTTCCAGATGACCCCTGAAGACTGTTTCTAGAAGGCCCGAAGAAATGAAGTGACTTGTCTGAGGTCACAGGACAGCTAGACTGACAGTTAATTAACAAGACAGCTAGAACCAAACCCAGAACTTCAAAGTCCTCGGTCAGTAATAATAGCAGCCCTTAGAGACCTGGTCTGTGTCCAGCATCTTCCTTCTGTACAGTATCTTGTTGATCCTCAACGCACCTGTGAGGTAGGTGTTAGGACTCGAGCTACAGAGGAGGAGGCAGAAGCGGGTGAAATGACTGGCTTGTCAGCACTGGAGTTTAATCAGAGGCACATCCTGGCCGTCCCTCTGCTGTGCTTTGCACAGAATCACATTTCCTCAAGTGCGTTCTGGTTTTTGTTATATTGGTGAGAACAAGAAAAACTGCCTTTCCTTAGCACGTATTAAGAACTAAGTGGGGGAGAGAGACACTTCTCCTGGTCTTTTGGTCCTCCTCTCATACAGGACACTGTATGTCCTGGCAGGGTGCACCCGGTTCGGAGGCCTGGATTCTCCAGGGAGGGGCCGTGAAGCCTGTGGGCCAGCAGAGTGTGCCCTGTAACTCAGTTTGGCAGATTGTCTGCATTTTGGCAGAAAAAAGTCCTAACTCCTCATTGAAAACAGAGGTTTAGCTTATCATCTTGCATTTAATGTGCATCTGTGACCTTAGCATTTTACCGGTAGTGTTTGTATGCGTAAACTCTGTGCTTTAAGATTGCTTATGAAAAAGTACAAATCATAGTAGATGACCTCCCTCCCCATCCCCTTCTTTTTTTCTCATCTTATTCCTCTTTTTCATCTTATTTATCCTTCTTAGAAGTAAGTACATAATCCAGCAATTTGTGCCTTTCAGCATTTTTCTCTAAGTTGGAAAGAATAAGAGGAAGTAAAGAGGGCGCCTGGGTGGCTCAGTTGGTTAAGCGACTGCCTTCGGCTCAGGTCGTGATCCTGGAGTCCCCGGGATCGAGTCCCGCATCGGGCTCCCTGCTCGGCAGGGAGTCTGCTTCTCCCTCTGACCCTCTTCCCTCTCGTGCTATCTCTCATTCTCTCTCTCTCAAATAAATAAAATCTTAAAAAAAAAAAAAGTTTTAGAAGAGGAAGTAAAGAGTCTATATTTGGCAGAAATCAGTATTTAACCTACTATTTCACTAGATCTGGTTTAAAATTTAAAAAATAGTAACAATGGCGGTGCCTGGGGGATTCAGTGGGTTAAGCCTCTGACTCTTGATTTTGGCTCAGGTCATGATCCTCAGGGTCATGGTACTGAGCCTGGAGCCTGGCTCCGTGCTGTGCTGGACGTGGAACCTGCTTAAGATTCTCTACCCCTCTCCCTCTGCCCCTCCCTACCTCTCTCTCTCTCTCAAATAAATCTTCCAAGAAAAAGAAATAGTAACAACAGGGGCGCCTGGCTCTCTCAGTCGATTAAGCATCTGACTCAGGTCATGATCTCAGGGTTGTGGGATCAAGCCCCAAACTCAGCGAGGAGTCTCTTCTCCCTCTCCCTCCCTTTCCCCCCGCTTGTGCCCTCTCTCTCGCTCAAATAAAAATTCTTTTTAAAAACAATAAAATAAAAAATAGTAAGAATAAGAAATATGAATAAGAAATCACCATGAGCAAACACGTTCAGTGTCCTTGAGCCCTGAGTAGCAACGCCCTACACTCAATTCTGTGGCTTCCTGATTCCTTACGAAAGGGTTTATAGAAATGTATCAGTCACTGTGGTAGGCTTAAACAGGCCGGACCCACTGAAGGGAAACTACAAAATGTATGAAATACCCTGCATCCAAACGTATGAAGTAGGTAAGATCGAAGATAATCAATCACATTGAGTAAAAATCTAAAAGTTTGTGTTTAAATGGAAGAGCTTCCTAAATGAATTCAGGTGCATGCTTAAACATATCTAATTAAATGGAAATAGAAAATCTTAACTGATCACAGATGAAATTCCAAAATTGTAAGCTATTCAAAATAGGAATCCCGTTATAAATACTGTATTCATTCTGCTTTATAGGAACTTACTCATTGTGCAAAGCAAGATACAGAGACGTACAGTAATTCATTTCCAGGACTGCCACTCCTGAGTAACTTCATGTAACAGTTGATGGCAGAAATACCTAAATACTGCATGTAACTGAAACTGCACAGGGGGTTTCATTTGGGAAATTGCTCAAAGTGAACTTTTTTAAAGAAAAACCAGAATCTATGTTGTGTGTCAGTGACTCCCTCCCTCCCTCACTCACTTGTGGCAATTTTGTGGCATAGTGAATGTGCTCAATCTGGCTCTTCGTGGGGCTAGCTATTCAATCCACAACATATATGTAGAGGATTATGTGAGGAAAAACATGGTAGTCTTCTTAAAGTGGTTTAAGAGGGTAACCAAATTATATGGCTACTTTTTTTCTGAATCAAAATGTTCTTTTTAAAAAAAGTGTTCTTTTTAAATAGGCAGTATTTGACAGCTTTAAAATATAGTTGTTTTAAAAGATAAATCTGAAATCCTATTTTAAGAGAAATTGTTTTAACCTAGTTGACTTGTTGTATTTTCTTCTTTTGTCTTGAAAATGGAAACACCAGATCCTTTATCCAGAAATTAAACCAATTCCACTTTTATTGTTTCAGTTTTCTATTTAGCCTTTTTCTCTTCTGAAAAGATTTCTCTGTTTATCTTTTCCTTCCTGTTGTCCTGTCCACAGAAATAACACTTCTTACACACTGAGAAACAGAATGGGTGATAGTATTATGAGATACTTCAAGATGAAAAGATGACTATTCAGAGAATATATTTAATGTCATAAATTTTACTGTAATATTTTTATTAGTTTAAAAGGAAATTAAAGGCAAATTGTATACTTTAAAAGTATCGTGTTTACACATTGTATTGTTTTCTGATATTTTGAACAAATCTTTGTAAAACTAGTTCTGAGCCAACAAATGGTTTACACTCTTTCATCATGGTACTGAAGATTTTAAAAAGAATATAGTTCGAGGGTCCAAGCCTTATTTAGAACAAAACAAAACCAAACAACATACTGAATTTATTAGTATTTTGAGTAAAAAATGAACGTGCTTTTAAAATGTTAAAATGTTTCAATATCATGAAATAGTACTTACAACTCTTGTTAACATGCTAGTAGGAAAATAGGAAGATGAAGTTTATTACTATTAGTATGTCTTATCCCGCCCCCCACTCTCAGATTTTTTTTTTTCTAAACATGCATTCTGTTTCCTTGCTTGCCTACAGTGCTGAGACAAGGATTGGCGTTCAGTCAAATCTATCGTTTTTCCTTGTCCGATGGCACTCTTGTTGCTGCACAAACGAAGAGCAAACTCATCCGTTCTCAGACTACTAATGAACCTCAGCTTGTAATATCGTTACATATGCTTCACAGGTAATCCTCGTTCTAAGAAATCATTTTCCCTTCCCCAAATCAAGAGGAAATGGTTCAGAAGCAATAGATTCCGCGCCCTCCCCCCCCCAGAGCTTTTCAGCCTTGTGAGACATTTCTGTTCATCAGCCCCAGGCAGGTAAAATAGAAAAGTAAGTTGCTACGAACTTTTGGCTAACAGACAACTTAGGATACCGGCAAAGTAGGCTATACTTGGAATCTGTGCCTTACTACTAGTGAATTTTAAAACCCAGCTGGAAGAACACAGGCTAGCGCTCACTTTGCTCCAACAGGAGCGCCTGTCATACCGGAGAAGGGAAGTCGGTCCGTTCCCAGGGGTGACACATGCGGTGCAGAAATAGTGAAGCCACTAGTGGGACTTCTGCTCCTGGGCGTGGAAATCTGCAACTTCCAAATATATATATTTAGAGGGAATATTTTAGACTTTTCCCCCCCTCAGGTTTAAATTAACTTCTTGATTTTGGCCTTTGGATTGAAAGCTAATAAACATTTCCATCAAAAAATGACTACAGAAAATTGAATGCTGATTTTAAAACAAATGTCAAACTATACTGTTTTAGAGCACGAATTTAGGAAAATGATTACATTTCGAGTTATATAAATATGTATGTATGTGCCATATAAAATTTGATGAGGTACTATCAAGATATATAAAGTTGCTCTGGTTAAAGAATCCCCTTTTATTACATTTCTCGGTTATATACTTTCTTATTTAGGAATAAAAAAAAAAGTCAGGCATCCCTGTTTGCCAACTGTTAATAAATCTGACCTCAAACTGAAACAATTTGAAAGTGATTACAGATGTGCCAAATTTCACCCCCCTAAGTGAAAGCTGATGTTTGACAATTTGTGAAACCTGTTTTGTTTGGATTTGTGAACACATGTGGTAACTCACAAGTGACTGCCAAGGCTGTAAATTAAAGCTCACAGGGCTTGGAAAATCATCTAGCCCGGAAAACCTGCTTTTAGTCACCAGTAAGGGAGTGGATTGGAGTTGTCTGGGCATTGGGGAATAAGATCACAGAGCAAGGTCACTCTGAAGTTCTGTCCCATGTTGTCTGTGTTGGAGGCTCTCGCTTTGACCTGCAAGGGGATCTGTTAGACAAGGTGATCTAGTTCTAAATACTTTTGATAACTTTACTGGCTCTAGAACTTGTGGAGTCTCTACTAGTTAGGGGCGAGTTCCCCCCTCTCCCGCTAAGTTTGCTGTCCGTCTTGAGCCGGGTAGTATACCTCGGAGCTCTCTGGGCTTACAGATGTGTCTCTTGTTAAGAATTGTGATCTGGCAAATAATTGAAGACAGCTCTGCTTGTTAGGGTCCTTCCTTTAAGATGGTAAAAGTTCTCAGTTATTCATGATAATATACCATGTAATGAGAAAGATAATATTATGTAATTGGAACCCCTCTAATGTCTTCTCTGGTAACTACAATTTCAATCCAGTAGCAGTCACATTTAAAGACAGCTCCTCTGTAAAACCGCAGACATCTTAATGGGTTGACTGAAAAACATCCCTCTTGGTCCAAAATTATGCGTGCTCAGTCTTGTCCATAATTGCAGATTGTTTCATCCAAGTATTATCTGTCCTTTAAATGTAGTCTGTTCTTTTAAAGAAAAGAGGCCATCTCATTTCTTTAAAATTAATAACAACTCGCTAAATGTGTTTCCTTTTATATTTCTTTCCTCATCGTACAGAGAGCAGAATGTGTGTGTCATGAATCCGGATCTGACGGGACAAGCGATGGGGAAGCCACTGAATCCGATTAGCTCTAGCAGCCCTGCCCATCAGGCCATGTGCAGTGGGAACCCAGGTCAGGACATGACCCTCGGTAGCAATATAAATTTTCCCATCAATGGCCCAAAGGAACAAATGGGCATGCCCATGGGCAGGTTTGGTGGTTCCGGGGGAATGAACCATGTGTCAAGCATGCAAGCAACCACTCCTCAGGGTAGTAACTATGCACTCAAAATGAACAGTCCCTCCCAGAGCAGCCCTGGCATGAATCCAGGACAGCCCAACTCCATGCTTTCACCGCGGCATCGCATGAGTCCCGGAGTGGCCGGCAGCCCTCGAATCCCACCCAGTCAGTTTTCGCCCGCAGGAAGCTTGCATTCCCCTGTTGGAGTTTGCAGCAGCACAGGAAATAGCCATAGCTACACCAACAGTTCCCTCAACGCACTTCAGGCCCTCAGCGAGGGGCACGGGGTCTCACTAGGGTCGTCGCTGGCTTCACCAGACCTGAAACTGGGCAATTTGCAAAACTCCCCCGTTAATATGAATCCTCCCCCACTCAGCAAGATGGGGAGCTTAGACTCCAAAGACTGTTTCGGGCTTTATGGGGAGCCGGCTGAAGGTACGACTGGTCAAGCAGAGAGCACCTGCCGTCCAGGAGAGCAGAAGGAGGCGGACGATTCCAGCATGCCCCAGGCTGTGAGCGGTGAGAGAGCTGACGCACAGAACCGGCTGCATGACAGCAAAGGACAGACCAAACTCCTGCAGCTGTTGACCACCAAATCGGACCAGATGGAGCCCTCGCCCTTACCCAGCTCCCTCTCGGACACAAACAAGGACTCCACAGCGAGCCTGCCTGGTCCTGGCTCGACACATGGAACCTCGCTCAAGGAGAAGCATAAGATTTTGCACAGACTCTTGCAGGACAGCAGCTCCCCTGTGGATTTGGCTAAGTTAACAGCAGAAGCCACAGGCAAAGAGCTGAGCCAGGAGGCCAACAGCACGGCTTCTGGCTCAGAAGTGACTATTAAGCAAGAGCCAGTGAGCCCCAAGAAGAAAGAGAATGCACTACTTCGCTACTTGCTAGATAAAGATGATACTAAAGACATTGGTTTACCAGAAATGACCCCCAAACTTGAGCGACTGGACAGTAAGACAGACCCTGCCAGTAACACAAAATTAATAGCTATGAAAACTGAGAAGGAGGAGATGAGCTTTGAGCCTAGTGAGCAGGTAAGTTGTGTAATGTGTTCTCTCAGGTATACTAATCCATATCCATCAAGGATTTTCACAGGGGCATTTGGAGGCCTCAGGTGAAGGGATAAAAATAAGCCTTCTCCTTTGTTGTTCTCACTTGGAGACAGAGTTAATTCTCACTGAAGCTCCCTGTTCCAAATACTCCTGTCTAGCAACGAGTGACACTTTCATCCACGAGGGGAAGGCTGACTGACTTTTTTTTTTTTTCCTGGAAAGGGCCAAGTGGTGAGTATTTTAGGCTCTACGGACCAAACAGCCACTGTGGTCCAAAAACGGCCATAGACACTATGCAGACAAATGAGGGCGCTGTGTTCTAATAAAACTTTACTGACAGCCACTGATACTTGGATTTTATACAGTTTTTGTGTGTCACAAAATGCTCTTCTGATTTTTTTTTTCAATTATCAAAAAATGTAAATCCCTTCTTAGCTCGGGGCCATAGGAAAACAGGTGGTGGGCAGGATTTAGCCCACAGGCCAGCTGTAGTTTGCTGACCCTGTTAATAGAAGATGCCTAAATTGGGGATAATCACTTCCTTGAAACTGGCTTTGTCAGGGCAGACTTCATTAAATTATTTCCCATTTACCTTTCTCTTTAAGATCAGAGTTTGGTGTTCAAACCTAATGAGGAACATCGCGCCCTTCTCTATCGTCAGCCGAACCTTCTGGTTAATGTTAAAGAATTCTTTCTTTCTTTCTTTCTTTCTTTTTTGGAGAGTTATTTCTGACATAATGGTTTGGCATAAGATGTTTCCTGGGGACTCAGTGACGGGCTGGGTTAATGATCCAAGACTTCACCCTGCTTTATCAACTCCCTCTCTAATACCTGGGAACAGCCCTGGACTTCAAATCTTTTAAGTCCTCATTGGTTAACAAGTGAAGAAGCTGCATTGGCCTTTCTACTTAAAATGGTTCACTAATTTGTCTTGAAATTTGTTTTGCAAGTAGGGAGTTGATGTGTCCCTGTCTTGGGGGACTAGGTGTGCGTGGGGAGAGGAGAGAGCAACACTCCCTTGCTATACTTGAACTCTGCTGAGTCAGCCGAGGCTGGCCCGGGGGCAGGGCTAGGATTGAAAGCAGGAATCAGGAAGGCTGAGGCCAAACACGCCCGCCTCACAGAGCGGGACTCCATCCGCCCTTCCAAGCTCTTAGCTTCCTTCATTTCTTTCACTTTGATGTCTTGGCAGCTGCTGTATTCCTGTAAGAGAGATATGATTTTTTTAAACCTCCATGCCCTTCACCAGGGAAACATCCTAATTCTATAATCATCTTTGATAATTAACCCTGGAACTTAGATGTTAGCAGCAGGGTTCGACAATACCGCTATTCTGTAATACAGTAAAATCAGTAAGTGGGGGAACCTCAGTTTCTTTCAGCAGAAAGTTAGTAGCAAAGCTTGGATTAAGTGTAGGGTGAAACTATCGATAACTGTCAGTGTTTTCATCTTTTGAGGTTTACTAGATTAGAATATACAGAGTGAGTGGCAGGCACAGATACTGTCACTCACGTCTCCCTAACACATGCCGTCTCCCTAACACATGCCGGAGGGCAAGATGGTGACTCATGAGGGCCACCTTAGCTCAATGGCTAAGTGGCTGGCCCCTCCCTCCATACACAGAATTTATTTCTATCCCCGGCCTGAGGCCCTAGGGACTTAGAGGGTTAGGGAAGGGGGACACTGTTTGGCATGTCTATATTTAGTGTGTGATGATGCTAACTTCAGACAAGAAACTGAAAAAAAAAAGAATTTTTTTTTTAAGTCCTTGAGTCACTTGCCATTTCTAATTGTTGTTTAGGAGACAGGTTTTTCTAATCAAAATCATCTTACCTAGGGAACATCAGCACAAATCTGTTATTTTGGGACCAAAAAGCAGGGTGTACACACACACACACCATTTTTTTTCTTAATGAAACCCAGCCCCTGGTCTCACCCTCCATTCACTCCCATTTGAAAAATAAAACTCCGCCAAAAAATACTGCTTCAGAGCAAACTTAACATTGAAAACATTGCAACTTGAAAAGAAAAGTTACCACAGGAAGTATGCATTAACTAAATTTAGATCAAAGTTAAAATGACTTACTTTAAGGAAAAAACAATGATTCTTTTGCCTCCTGCTTGCCTTCAGTATTCCCAAAACAGATTAATTGTATCTCCTTTTAACTGCTGTACCAGTTTAAGTTTTTTTCTTTCATTTCAGGGGAATGCAAATTTTTTATTTAATAAGATAAACTGTTAGGGAGCCTGAATTATGCAGTCAACGGGCTTGTTATTTTGACTCCGAAAAGAGCCATTAACCAAGTGTGTGTTTAACCTACCTATAACTTATTAAGGACAGGAAGTACTTCGATGGTGCTATTATACCTAAAATAGCGTTCTTCACTGGGTAGACTATTTAAACAACATTTGTTTCTACAGCATCTCGGCACCAACAGGAAGCAGTGACTGAAAAATTTCCAATATGTTTACCGACTTTCCAGTTACACACTTATTTACCCAGTAGAGCATGTTGATAGTCTTATGTTCTTTCTAACGCTACTGGGCCAGTTATAATGAGGGCTTAGAGCTAGTCTAAAAGGAACATCTTGCTATTTAGCTCCACCAGAAAGGCAAACTGTATCTTAAACTGGCAATGTCCTGAAAATTTCCCACCAAATGCAGTAGAATTGTATTACCATCTTTTAACAATTTTACCTTTTTTTTTAAGCAATTTTATGTTAGGCAAATGTGGTAAAATTACACTTTTTATTTAAATTTTTGAAAAAATGTTTTGTAACTTATTAAAACACTTATGTTATTAAAATGCATGTGCTCTTTATATTTCCTTCAGAGAACAAGTTGATTTGACACATGAAAAATTCATAAAACCAGAAAAATGAAAAATTAAAGAAATCAAGTCCAATTTTCATTTTGTAGAACTTTTATAAAAATCTTTCTGACTCATTTTCTGCCTGAAATAGTTTAAACTAACTATTCAAATTGATGTGGCTAATTTGAGCATTCGAATAGATGCCTAAGCAAAACTTTGAAGAATCTTGGCAAAGCATTTTAAAGGAAGGCATTAATCTTTTTGTCTTGTGAAGAAATGCCTAACAAAGTAGACATGGACTGGGGTGCCTGGGTGGCTCAGTCGTTACGCGTCTGCCTTCTGCTCAGGCCCTGATCCCAGGGTCCTGGGATCAAGCCCCGAGCCCCGCATCGGGCTCCCTGCTCCACTGGAAGCCTGCTTCTCCCTCTCCCACTCCCCTGGCTTGTGTTCCTGTTCTCGCTGTCTCTCTCTCTGTCAAATAAATAAATAAAATCTTTAAAAAAAAAAAAAAGTAGACATGGACTAGAAGAACTTTTGGTGAGAATTAAAGCTTAAAAAAATTTAGGGGGGATATTTGATCAGAAACTTAATGTGATCAAATCTGTCCCTTCCAAAACTTACATAACTACAGAAGAAAATGCCATAATTGCCAGATTTTATTGCCAAACAGCCGTAGGGGTTATAGTAGACATTCTGAATTTTATGTCCTTGATGAAGATCATTTAAAGTATACTTAAGACAATTAGGTGAATGTTAAATGTGTACTCCAAAAATTAACAAGAAATAAGCACAAGCAAAACAATATTATCTCCAGTGGGGAAAATTACGTAATGTATTCTTCTGATGGCAAGCTGAATGAATTCGAATAATGTCCATAGTTATGGGGATCCAAAGAACCAATTTCTTTTGACTATGAAACCAAGAAGTTCCTACATGGCTTTCTTAAGACAAAAAAGTGTTGTTGTTTTTTTTAAATTTATTTAAAGATTTTATTTATTTGAGAGAGAGAAAGCGGGGGTGGGGTGGGGGGGAGGGTCAGAGGGAGGAACAGACTCCCTACTGAGCAGGGAGCCCGATGCAGGATCATGCAGGATCAATTCCAGGACCCTGGGATCATGACCTGAGCCGAAGGCAGACGCTTAACAACGGCCATCCAGGCACCCCAAAAAAGTGTTTACTTGTCGGAACTAGACTGATCCAGAGTTGAATTTGGTCGGCTCTTAAAATGGCAGAGATTAAAAACTTGAAAATCAGTTTTTAATACATGCTTTTTAAAAATAAAAATCAACCAAGGAAAATACTGCATTTTAAATTTTCTAATTATTTGAAATTGAAAAACCAATAAATTGATTTAAACCATCCAAATAATACACACACACACACACACACACACACACATTAGATTTTATTTATTTGAGAGAGCACAAGCGTGGAGCAGGGAGCCCGATGCGGGGCTCGATCCCAGGACTCCTGGGATCATGACCTGAGCCGAATGCAGACGCTTAATCGACTGAGCCACCCAGGCGACCCAGCCATCCAAATCTATTTTAACATGTTATACGTATAACGTTAGACTTATTTTCAACTCATTATATTAGACACGAGTAGATTACATAGGAAGAATCATGAATCTTGTTACAACTCTTTGAAACTATGATGATAGTTATTTTTCTGTTTGACGGATGTGGTTTAGAGTATAATTTTATTTGGGTGAAAAGAATAAAGGTAAAAAGGAAAGATAGGAGTCTAGACACAGGCTGTTGTTAATCTACACTGTAAAAGCTTTCTTCTACACATATCTGGGATTGGGGGCCAAGTATAAGAGCATCCACTGAGGATAATAATATACTTTATTTTTATTACTGTTTATATGAACCTATTTATTTTTGGCTGTTTCTCATCCAAGGCAATCTGCAGAGCTTTCTCAAGTATCTTATTACTTTACTTATTCTCCCCCCTCCTTCCTCCTCCTTCACCCCTTACTCTCCCTACAACCCCCCCACACACACACACAATGAGCTTCAAGGGCCACTTTTTAAAATAGTCTAGGGGCGCCTGGTGGCTCAGTCGTTGGTTGTCTGTGCCTTCGACTCAGGTCATGATCCCGGGGTCCTGGGATCGAGCTCAACATCAGGCTCCCTGCTCCATGGGAAGCCCTGCTTCTCCCTCTCCCACTCCCCCCTGTTTGCATTCCCTCTCTCACTGTGTCTCTCTGTCAAATAAATAAATAAAAGCTTTTAAATAAATAAAATACTCTACACAAGGCAGCAGCATAGTAGGGAAACTTGGTTTCGTAGGACAGCAATAAACTTCCGTTTATTAGAACCTCTTATCGCTATAGTTATTTTAATGACACAATTACAAGGATATTTATCACACATTTTTATGAAATATTTTTCTGAGAAAATAATGGAAATTATAGGAATTTCTGTGAGAAATTTAGTTGATCCTGGGAAATTTTCTTAAATCACAGGTTAATATGGTTAAAGGAATTCATCCAATTGACTGAGTGTCCATGACTGTGTTCCAGGAACTGTCCTTGGAGGACAATAGATGTCCATACTGATGTTTATCCTTTTGTATTCAGCAAAACATGATAAAGATAGATTTACAATGGAGTCACTTTACATGTACGTTTAACTTACACAAAATCATCTGTACACATTCAGAAGAAAGGAAGGGGCAGCTACGAAGTGATTAAGTAGTGTGAGCAGTTCTGCCCACCATTTTACCCCATAAGTATGTACCCTTGCAGAACCATCATGAGATGGATGACAAGAGGTTACTGGGTTTGGGTTCTCCTATGGCTCTAGCAGTGTGAACATGTAGCTACAGGGTTTTTAAGTGCAGCACAGCCCCTACGCACATTACACACTACGTCATTTTAGGACTCAGCTAAAACAACAGCAGTGTGCTTCCGCTCCGGAGGAGAACCTGTGTCGCCCTTGGAGGGGACATAGGTGCACAGTGAGGTGTCTCCCCAAGGGTCATTTTGTCTCCGTCTATACTTCAGGATGCTGACTTTGGAACCCAACCCTTACCGAAGATGTATGTTTCCCATATTTGATGCCTCCATCTTCTGTTAGAAATGCGTGGCTAAATTAAACTAGAAAATGGTCTTGTAATTGCCCCAGCAACACACTGGGAATTTCCTAGAAAGTTGATCTCCAGGTTACTACTAAGCTACTTGACTCTGAAGAAGGAATCAAATAAAATGTCACTTCAGTTTCTCTTTCCCAACTTGAGAAATATGTCCAGTAAGACTTCCCATACAGATACTACATATGCCATAAATTGCAAAAACCTTAGTAAATCCAACCTCTGCCTGGGGAATAGGGGTTGTATATAGAATAAAACTGTGAGCCATTTTGCTCCAAGTATTACCTCCTATCAGATGTAAACAATTTCATTTGAATGCCCTGTGTCGATAAAATGTCTAGTCATGGTCAAGGATTCAGATTCCATCCAGTGACTTTGAGGGAACTACCTAACTTCTGTGTTTCCACCTTGACATCCAAGAGATCATTCTTACCACTTTCTTCATTAGAAACTACTTCTAACATTTAACTTCTCCATTTTTTTGTGTGGTTAGCACTGCTTGATAGGTTCTACTTAATATAAAATATGTTGAGCTTTTTGGAAGAAAAGTAGTAGGTGTGAGATAGTGGTGATATTTACCTTATTATTTTGATGTTGGTAATTGAAATGAAATGACTTCAGTAGAAGGAAAAGCCCTAAGAAACACTGTTCTGCCTTCTGTGAAGTCAGGTTAATAGATGCTGTGTATGGAGACACCATGTTTTTATCCTGCTTCCCTACATTTTGTCACCTAAGCTGGTGACTGACTGAGAAAGCCAGTGTCATTTGAAACTGAAAGCGCAAGCAGGAAAAAAAATACCAGTCAAATCGAAAAGGCAGTGCTTAACTATTCATGGTGACTTTGAGCTTACTTTGCGCTTATTTTGCCTTTTACCCCTGCTCTTAAAAAAAGAAGTCCTAGAAGGAAATGACCACCTACAAAACACTGATGTAGTGTAAATTTCGATCATATTTTTTTTTTGAACCAGTTTTTTGTTGTTATTTCTTAGAGTTAACCACAAACCTAGACCTGGACCATAAGTCCTAGTACACTCAGAGTTAATTAGAAATATACATACTCATGACTGATTGAATTATTAGCATACATTAAAGGGGAATTTATACATTGCCAATGAATCAGCTCTGGAAGAGAGCTTTCTAATTCAGTCACCACTCTTTTTCTGGATGAGGAAATAGAGGACGAAGAGATTAAGTTATTTGGCGTTTGTCAGTTTAAATTTTTAAAAGATCAATTCCCTTGTTAGGCCAGAGGTCTGCTTGTGTGTCTGCATCCTTTGGCTGTGGTGGTGCCTCATGCCAGTTGGGTCTGTAATTGCAGAGGGGGCTGTGGTGCCCACCCTCAGGGTGGGACTGGATAAACTCTTCTGTTTGTTAACTGCAGCCTGGCAGTGAGCTGGACAACTTGGAGGAGATTTTGGATGATTTGCAGAATAGTCAATTACCACAGCTTTTCCCAGACACGAGGCCAGGCGCCCCTGCTGGATCAGTTGACAAGCAAGCCATCATCAATGACCTCATGCAACTCACAGCTGAAAACAGTCCTGTTACACCTGTTGGAGCCCAGAAAACAGCATTGCGAATTTCACAGAGCAGTGAGTATGAGATATTGATGGTTATGCCAAGAAATTCCCATATAATCACCATTAGAAACAGTGATTATTAAAATCTGATACAAACAGCTTAGTCACTTGAAGGTTTTTGTGATCAAATAGCGCCATCTACTGCCCAGGTTCTTCAAAACACCATTCAAAATGGACTCTCTTGAACATGGCCTTCCAGTATTCTCTTGTGGTTAATTTAATCAATTTGCAGTGAGACTGACCTACATAGATAAAGTTCTTTGGGTGGTTGTCATGTTTCCCTTTATTTTTGCTACTGCCTTCAGAAATGGGGTTTAAAATAGACTTTATGTGTTTGAGTATATAAGTGGATACTTTAAATATATAAAAAATTATAAAGTTAGGCTGACTTTTTAGGAATAAAATGCTATTAAAAATTCTTAATATTTAATCATAATATGTGAACGGGCTCTACACATTAAAAAAGTCTTATCCTGTCTCTTAGGAATAATCTTTTAAATATCAGTTTGAATGGAACTTTATCATACATGTTTTCTAAGTGCACTTTAACTAATTTGATATAGAGCTGGAAGACCTTAGACTATTTTAGCAAATACATTTTTTCTATCATGTATTCTTTTTATTTTAGATTTTTGTAAGTTTAAGACGAATTCTTTCTTCACCAGGATCACTTAGTTTACAAACTCAGTTACCTGAAGTAGTCCAACAGTTTTGAATGGAAGAAAATCTCTCTCCTGTGCAGAGAGACGTCATTTATGGAATGATAAATGACGTCCTTAGTTAACTTGGTGAACAGAATGATTTTTCCCTCGTCAAGTACAGTCTCATTCTGTGCTTAGCATTTGTTCTGAAACTGTAAATGGCAACCATCAACCAAATCACAAAATATCTTTAATTACTAGATCTTTTCTCAAGTGATTCTTGATTATTCTGAAACGGATAAAACAAAATAGTTTGTGTTTGTTATCATCTCTCAAACCTTCGTGTTTCCTGAGGAATGGAAGGTACTTCTGGACCGTGGGGGATCACAAAGTCAAAGAGTCGGGGAGTGAGTAAGAAGCACACTAGAGAAGTTTATGCTCATTAACCGGAGGCATTAATGAAGGGTGGCATGAGGACTCATGCTTTCTCCTCTATTTGTACCTGCTGATGGTGGTCAGATTGTTGAGTGCTAGCCGGAGAGCTAAACCTGAGGGGATCATGATTAAACATACACCATTTCCATTCCGAGCCCTAATTCTTCTAAATATTTTATTTCTGTTATTAATTAAGAACTTATTTATTCTGAATGTTCTGTTTCATACTATGCTTTATGTAAGTCAGTGAAAATAAAATACTTGATATTATTTCATAAAGTAGTTCTATAAACTGTCCTTTATAATATCTGTATACTTTTAAAATTTAAAAATGTTCTTATCAAATTATTGGTACCTATGTGATAGGTACAGTGCAGTGCGCACACCACCATGGATTCTTGTCCGTCCACCATAAGAATCATTTCAAATCTGAATGTGTCCGGAATTTAAAGAAGCTGTATTTAGAAGATTAAACAGGGCCCTAAATCTTTAATACTGACTTTAGGGGGCAGAGTTCACACTTAAAAGATTTTAACTTCCAAGGCAAATAGGTACTTTTAACCAAACTCTACTTCTAGAAAAGTCCAGTTAAGAAATGCTATGTCCAAACCACACGTGTCTAGGTTTGGGGCTCTATACAGGAGAGGTTTGTAGCTTCATAGCTGTGACAAAGCAGGACTCCTAAATTCCAATAATGGTACATATGGAGAAGACCATACGAGTGTTTTACCTAGCAAATAGGATTAAATGTTAGAAATTAGTGATGGGGAGGAAAATATATGGTAAAAGACATGGGGGTTTTTTCCTCTCTTTTTGCAAGATTGTTAAGAGTTAAAAGACCTGTTGATTAAATTTTTGTGCTGCATATGGTTGTTTTTTTTATTTTTTGTTTGTTTGTTTTTTTGTCTGTGAGTTTGTCTTTTACGTAGGCAATTGGTCCCTGATGTGCATATCTTTGATATTTTACAGACAGCATTTTCCCTGATCACTGCTTCTGTTGCTGTTCTTTTTCCATTATCCTATATTAACCTTCAATTTTCATTTGTTTTCTCCTTAGCTTTTAATAACCCACGACCAGGGCAACTGGGCAGGTTATTGCCAAACCAGAATTTACCACTTGACATCACATTGCAAAGCCCAACTGGTGCTGGACCTTTCCCACCAATCAGAAACAGTAGTCCCTACTCAGTGATACCTCAGCCAGGAATGATGGGTAATCAAGGGATGATAGGAAACCAAGGAAATTTAGGGAACAGTAGTACAGGTAAGGGCTCAAATGCATGGTTACTTTATTGGTGGGTTATTTAACTTAATGATGTATTCATCCACATCAAAGTAGTAGAATTTTTCAAATGAATTTTTTTTTATGTTAGAAACTAATACTAGAAGGTAAGAAAATTCTACAAACTTTGACTGGGAGAGTGGCATGTGAAGCATTGGGAAACATTCCAGTAAGCTGACTGTTTTATTCTATGATCATTACTTTTACGAGGTTTCTAATCATTAATCCTATAGCATAGGCTTATGTCTTCTATTCCAGTTTACTGTTCTAGACATTGTAGTGTTACGTGTAAGATGATTTGGTGGCTGCTGGCATCTCCTGTAATCTGCTGATAATCCCAAAACTTCCTATTAATTGATGATTTGTTTTTGGAGAATTTCAGAATGAAAGTTTAAAATTCAGCCAACTTTTCATACTTATAAATGATATAGTTCTTCAGAAAAATATTAATTAAAAATAAAGAACTTTACATGGTAATATGCTTGATCTAAGAGTACCGGGTCCAGGGCTCCCTTTTTGAAGATATATGACTTTGCCTGTGATCTGGTTTCGACCTTGACTTGCTATGACTTCAGGTATCTACCAAGTTGCCCCTGCACGTTTGCTAGATGGTACTCAGTGTCATCACAACTACCACATTCTCACACTTGCAGCTAATTAAGGCTAGAAGTCATCTGAGCAGCAGTGATTGCTATTACCACCACGTCCTGTACCCTATGATATCTATTTATCACAGACCTAGTAGCAGGATGCTGAGTTTCCTAATGAACTGCTCACAATTTACAGCCCTCTTCCTTTGACAAAATGAAGTACTCAGGAAAAAGGCATTGAAAGAAATAGATATTATGAAAAGAATTTATATTTGTTCTTGTTTTTTTCTTTTAGCTTAGTTTTTAATCTCTGTATACGCATTGCCATTTTAGACAGCTGGCTGAAAATGAGAATTCAGTTTAAGGGGAAAAGTTGGATTTATTTATTTTCAGGTATTGATGAGCAAGCAATTTGTGGGGAAACGTGTACCATGCTGTATTAAAATCGTTGATTCCTTCAACAAATATTTATTGGGCGCCTACCATATGTGCCAGACACTCACTACTTCACTGCTTTATGTATTCACAGAAATAAGGGCCATATTAATTTTATAATTTAAGATAAATTATTGATTTATGTAAACAAAATACTGCTTTCTGCAACATTCTGTAACAGAAAAGGAGCCCCAGTGACTCATTAAAAGTGCCTCCTTATTAGGAGAACACAAGAAGTTCTGAGTTCTTGGAGAGGTCTTGGAGGGAGGAATTTAGGGGTATACCTGTTTTCAAATCTGGGCAGCCTGGAGATCACTGGTGTCCAGACTCTGAAGATCATAACAGTGCCTGTGCTTTGTTTCAAAAAAGAAAAAGAAAAAGCCTGAAAGAGATTGAGACCCCAGTTACTATAATTGCAGGAATGCTGTTGAATTGCGGGTCGTTTTTCCTTCTGCTTTCTGGACTTGCCGTAATCTTGTTATATTATTTAGAGACCAGGTTTTTGGAAAAATAAAATGCCTATTCTCCCATAATACATTTGTGTAATTCAAATTTAATCTTTAAATGGTTTTTAAAATATATATTACTATAATATTGTTCTGTGACTTCTTCAAATTAATTATCCTTTATTCCTTATCATCCTGACGTAGCACATTCTCATTTCACAAGTGAAAAGCCACCCACAATACATGTTCCCTCCGCTTCTTAAATATACCCTATTTTTAGTTATTGTAATTAAAGTAAATGAAAGCAAGCCATCTATTTGAAAACAACTTTTATTTTTTTTTAAGATTTTATTTATTAGAGAAAGCATGAGCGGTGGTGGGGAGAGGCAGAAGGAGAAGCAGACTCCCCAGTGAGCAAGGAGCCCAACATGGGACTTGATCCCAGGACCCCAAGATCATGACCTGAGCCAAAGGGAGATGCTCAACCGACTGAGCCACCCAGGCGCCCCATAATGAAAGCAAAACTTTTATATATCCATCATTAAACATTTTGAAATGCGGGGTTCTCACTGGGATTTTTTTTCCCCTTTAGAACATCAAGTCTTAGCCAATATTTGGCCATTGTCAGCATCCCCAGGGGCCAGGCCAGAGAGAGTAAACACTTGATACTGCTTGGAGTATTGTGCTCTTATTGTTAAGTGTTAAATAACTGATAATATCTCAAGTATAAAAAGATTTTACCAATCTGCCCTAACCCATTCTAGATCTATGTGATCAGGAATGTGGTGGTCCAGGTATATTGAAGTACCCTATAAGGAGGAGTTCCCTTGCCTTGGATATAAAAAACTGTGGTAGAAAGATCCTGTAATTTCTTCATGTTTTAGAGGCTACCATGGTCAATTTTGAAGCTTAACAATTATAGTAGTCTGAAAGGGAGCTGAGGATTTAAAAATGTGACATCGGCTTCATGGGATATTCTGTGATTCGGATTTATAACCAGAGTATTGATTATCAGTTTAAACCTTGTTTCTCTTAGCCTCACCTCCCTTTTGGAAAGTAAAGCACTGACGTGTAGATCAGCTAATGTGATTCACTTCCTGAGGAAGGAAGTTGGGGTTATCCACACACCACAGCACCTGTTTCTAAGTACATATGGGAACAATTTTAACAGCTTTTCCGAACTATGAAGAGTGGCAAGTCTGTGCTTTGAGCAACTGTAGAAATTGCCAACTCTTGTTTCTTAGCCAAGGGTCTGCGTCTGTCCCAACGAGGGCGTTACCTATTGGGCCAACTGTGTATTACAGAATGATTGTCTTCCACAGAGTGAGATCATCTGGTGTTCATACGTGCTGACTATGTTTTCAGTTACCCCATGTCTCTGTTTCCTCTGGCTTGCCTGCAGGAATGATGGGTGGTAATGCTTCCCGGCCCACTATGCCATCTGGGGAATGGGCACCACAGAGTTCTGCCGTGAGAGTCACCTGTGCTGCTCCCACCAGTGCCATGAACCGGCCAATCCAAGGAGGTATGATTCGGAACCCAACAGCCAGCATCCCCATGAGACCCAACAGCCAGCCTGGCCAAAGACAGATGCTTCAGTCTCAGGTCATGAATCTAGGTAAGGTAGTTCTAGTGCTCTTTTTTTTTTTTTTTCTTAAGATTTTATTTATTTATTTATCTGACAGAGAGAGCGCATGCGAGCACAAGCGGGGGGCAGGGGCAGAGGAAGAAAGAGAAGCAGACTCCCCGCTGAGCAGGCCGCCCAATGTGGGACTCAATCCCAGGATGCCAGGATCATGACCTGAGCCAAAGGCAGACGCTTAACCAGCTGAGCCACCCCGGCACCCCTCTAGCGCTCTTTACTTTTAATCTCCTTGCTTTCTTAGAAGACAGTAACAGCTCCAAAAGTTCTTTCAGGATATGCTACTCATTTGCAGTTTAGGTGATTCCCCTCATGGCAAGCTATCATAAGGGAGATTTTGCTAGAACTCTATAGAATCATAGAATCTGAAAAGCTTTCTAGTTACATTAAAGAACCAACTACATTTATGGTGTTTTATTTTTATTAAATTACCTAATTTCAACCTTTGGGGGGAGTGAATTGGAGTGTCACACTGTAAATGTTATACATATGATATTTTTTAAAAACATTTCAGTGTTACAGCAGTGGTTCCTAACTCTGGGTGATCATCAGAATCATCTCAGGACAAGATGCAAATTCTTGGGCCACCATCCTAGACTATTAAACCAGACTTTCCAGGGTCCTCACTGAAGGTACAAGGTCTTCTTAGAACATCTCACAAAATGTGAGGATCGCTAAAATTCTATTTGGATACAGTTCACATGTTATTAAGATTAATGGTCTGATACATTATACGACACCATTTGTATGAAGTGCCCAGAACAGACAAATCTGTAGAGAAAGAAAGTAGTAGGTAAGTGGTTGCCTAGGGCTTGGGGTATGGGGGACATGGGGAGTGACTCCTAGTGGTCATGGGGTTTCTTTTGGGGGGATAAAAACTTTCTAAACCCGATTATCGGAATGGTTGCACAGCTCTGCAAATATACCGAAACCCACTAAGTCATATACTTTAAATGGGTGAATTGTGTGGCATGTCAGTTATATTTCGGTAAAACTGTCATTTTAAAAAAAAAAAGGTTAATGATCTGTACAACTCATACATGAGATTGTTTTCTTAATCATTGACATATTAACCTTCTTCTAAATCTTGCATGTTAGCATAATTCAGGTAAGTTAATGTTTATGTACTTTTTCATATACTTAGATATTGCACGATGAGTAAGAGCTAAATCATTAACGGAAAGGTACCAGGATTGTTTTGACAAGACAATGCAGAATTCTCATCCTACCTCTGGCTTCCGCTTTCCTACCTAGTTATGTAATTGCTCAGCACATTTTTGTCTTATTTCTGAGAGGTGACATTCAGATAGCCTTTCTGCGGAGAATGTACTTCGAATTGATGAGTGGTTTCCAAACATAAGTTCATACAATTTGAGGCTTCTGTGGAACAGTGCTAAAAATGACCAGATTTTCATGCAAAATTAAACTGAGAAATTTTTTAATGTATTGATTCATTCATTAAAATATCATAATTAAGGGGCACCTACCTGGCTCAGTTGGTAAAGCATGTCACTCTTGAGCCCCATGTTGATTATAGAGGTTACTTGAAATACTAAATAAATAAATAAATAAATAAATAAATAAATATCATAATTAATAAATCCCTTATATCCAGAAATTCAATTTATTTTCCATATTTCTTTACTGAAGAGCACCTCACCTGGCCTTTGAGCTGTGTATTCTGTAGCTGAATTTCTCTTGATTTTTAATAAATTCAAAAAAACCCTGAACTCAACAGAAAATTACCTATTTTAACGGAAGACAGGTCTATAGATGGTGATAACAATAAAATCATTGAAAAGCTCGTGTCATCCATTAGCTTTAAACCTCTAAAAAGAACTTCTAAGAAAGAGCACATCCGAGTTGTCTGGGCCTTCTTTCTGTTCCACCCTCTCTCTTCTGGGAGAGCTAACTGAATTACAGTTAATAAAAGTTTAGGAACAAGTGATCTAGTGCTTCTCAGAAGTATGGTCCAGGACCCTGATGCCCTTTCAGGGGGTCTGTAAGGCTAAACTATTTCCATAATAATCCTGAGATACTCCTGGCCTTCTTCACTCTCACCTCTCACAAGCATACAGTCGAGTTCTGGAAGTTACATGCTGTGTGATATCACCATAGGTGGAATGTGGGAGCACGTAGGAGTCTCTGGCTCTCCTCTATCAATCCAAACATTAAAGTACGGATTTTCAAAAATCTAAAACAATGCCAGTAAAAGGATTTTTTTCATTTCTTATTTAAAAAACTTGTTTAGAGGCGTCTGGGTGGCTCAGTCGGTTAAGCCTGCCTTCGGCTCAGGTCGTGATTCCAGGGTCCTCGGATTGAGCCCTGCATTGGGCTCCCTGCTCAGCAGGGAGTCTGCTTCTCTCTTCCTCTGCCGCTCCCCCCTGCTTTGCTCTCTCATTCTGTCTGTCAAATAAGTAAATAAAATCTTTAAAAGAAAAAAAAAAGAGCTTGTTTATGTTAACACAGAGTGGATTTATTGTAATTATTTTAAATGAATGAATAATTGTTTTTTTTCTACTTTCCAATGTGAATTTCCCATACAGTAAATATCAATAAGATATACCCACATAACAAAACTAAAAGGTCAGGGTGCTGGGGTGCCTGGATGGCTCATCAGTTAAGCCTCTGACTCTTGATTCTGGCTTAGGTCATGATCTCAGGGTCATGAGATCGAGCCCCCCACTCCACCCCCCCCACCCCCAGTGGGCTCTGTACTCAGTGGGGAGTCTGCTTGAGATTCTCTCCCTCTCCCTCTGCCCCTCCACCCCGCCCCCTTGCTCTCTTTCTCTCTCTCTCTCTCTCTCTCTCAAAGAGAGACTATAAAAAGTCTTCATTTCCAAAAGTTTAGAGCTACCACTGTATATATTGCCTAAAGTGGGTGATAAGCCTTGATATTTATTGCCTTTGTTTCCATTTCAGAACAAAAAGTCAGTCTTACTATTTTTACCTAATTATTATGCATCTGTCTTTTTCATTTTATATAAACCAGGTATTTCACTTTATATCACATAGAGGAAATAGGCACTTCCTTGATGACGAGTTGTAAAGGTTTTTGTCTTCTCTCTTTTTAGGGCCATCTGAATTAGAGATGAACATGGGGGGACCTCAGTATAGCCAACAGCAAGCTCCTCCAAATCAGACTGCCCCGTGGCCTGAAAGCATCCTGCCTATAGACCAGGCATCTTTTGCCAGCCAAAACAGGTGAGTCCTGAGTACCCAGGAAATCCCAGAGAAGAGTGGTTCATGATGGGTTCTCTAAGTTATTTTAGACCTCTGCCAGAAGTTAATCTTTTCCTCCTAAATAGTTGGTCCTGGCCAGTTTTCATGTATTCAGACTATATCATCGGTTATTGGACAGGGGGTATAGGGGAGGGAGAAATCCAAAAATCAGGTTAGACCTAGGGCATGTCTTTAAAACGTTATAATTTAGTTGGAAAATAAGATGTACATTAGTAACTAATATAAGGTAGTATACTACTATAAATGCTGTAAGAGAAATAAAACAAATTGGGAGAGAGTGTCCCACTGGAGTGATTGGAGAAGGTTCAGTCTTGAAGGAAAGGTGTGATTCAGGAGGCAGTGATGGCAGGAAGCCAGTCCAGCAGGTAAAAACAGCATAGTCAGAGCCTGGATGTTATAGAAACAACCTGTGTTTACGGTAACAGAGAATTGTCTGGTTTTCTGTTGACATATATTTTACCACTTAAAACAGTATAGTAAAGGCAATATGAGAAGATTTGGCAGGAAGAGATTAGTAATAGATTTATAGGAGGTCTTAAATACCAAACTGAAGAATTCAGACTTTTTTCTTTAAGCCATTGAAAATTTTTTTCGTATTTTTTTATTATGTTAATCAACATACATTACATCATTAGTTTTTGATGTAGTGTTCCATGATTCATTGTTTGTGCATAACACCCAGTGCTCCACGCAGAACGTGCCCTCTTTAATACCCATCACCAGGCTAACCCATCCCCCCACGCCCCTCCCCTCTAGAACCCTCAGTTTGTTTTTCAGAGTCCATCGTCTCTCATGGTTCGTCTCCCCCTCCGACTTACTCCCCTTCATTCTTCCCCTCCGGCTATCTTCTTCTTTTTTTTTTTTCTTAACATATATTGCATTATTTTTCAGAAGTACAGATCTGTGATTGCCATTGAAAATTTTTTTGAGAAAGGAAGTGGTATGTGATCATGTTTGATTGAGATTTTTTGGTTCTGATTAGCAGTCTAATAATTTTTCTTTGTGGGTCTTTTCTCTCTAGCTGCTTTTGAAATACTCTTTGTATTTTCTGTATTGTACCTTTACTACAACGTGTCTGGGTACAGATTTATTTATACTGCTTGGTATTTGGTATATGCTGTACTTTTTTTAATCTGTAGATGTGAGTTTTTTCATCAGTTCTGGAAAATTTATAGCCATTATCTCTTTATATACTGCCCCCCTCCATTTTCTCTATTCTTTCCTTCTGGGATTGTGGTTAGACATGTTACACCTTCTGTGCCTACACTGGATTTTTAAAAATTCTACCCTCCAGGGGCACTTGGGTGGCTCAGTCGGATAAGCGTCCAACTCTTAATTTCAGCTCAGGTCATGATCTCAGGGTTGTGCGATCGAGCACCGTGTTGGGCTCTGCACTGGGCGTAGAGCCTGCTTAAGATTCTCTCCCTCTGCCTCTCCCTCTGCCCCTCCCCGCTGAAATACATTCTACTTTCTTAATCCGTGTATTTTCTATCTCCTCATCTCTCAGTACTACATCAGGATAATTTATTATCCAGTTCCTTAATTATCTCTTCAGCTATGTTTAGTCCAATCATGTTTTTCATTTCTAAAAACATTATTTGCCTGGTCTGCTTTTCACAGTCTCATTGTTTGCTTATTCTTGTGGTTCCATCTTTATATCTTTAAGCATTACACTCATCATCTTTTCTGAATTTCTTTATCTGATAATTCCAATATCTAAATTTCTCAGGAGGTCTAAATCCAGTATTGGCTCTCACTCATGAAGGCGTATTTCCCTGAGTATTTTGGTAATCTTGCATTGGAAGTTCATAAGTGCATCTTGTCCATTGAAACATCTAGGGTTGCCATTGTGGATACTTTTCTTAACAGCAAATTTGCAGTACTCTCTGCCAGAGGAGGGGGTCTACTCCAGGTTCCCTTAGTTCAGTCCAGCAGCCTCAAGTTAAGTCCTTTTATTTCGCTTTGGCCCAAAGCCCCAGCTCTTCTTACTGCTTTACGGGTAAAAACACACCTATCACCAGTGGCTCAGGATGCTCAAATTTTAGCTCATACATGGTCTTTGTTTTGTCCTGTGCTTGCCTCTTTGGAGTTCCATTATTCCCTGCAAAGCCAACATCACAGTTATGTTCTATGCATAATCTCATTGTTTTTAGTAGCACACTGAAAGCAGGTGTTGCTCAGGTGACCTTGAGCCCTAGGTGATGGTACCACGTGACTGGTTGGGTGGGCAAAGAGACCCTATGCAGAGAGAGAGAAGCCTAAGCCAGAAGGCACTGTAGGAACTTAAAGGATGCCCATGGTGTTTTCCAGGAAGCAAACTTATTAGAAAACTTAAACTATAGCAGTTTGGCCTTGAGGTTCATGTATAAAGAGTTGGAGTTGAAGGCTCAATGATTGGAGATTATTCTAGTTTAAAATAATGTAATACTCTTGGGCGCCTGGGTGGCTCAGTCGTTAAGCGTCTGCCCTCGGCTCAGGTCATGATCCCAGAGTCCTGGGATCGAGTCCCACATCGGGCTCCTTGCTCAGCAGGAAGCCTGCTTCTCCCTCTCCCACTCCCCCTGCTTGTGTTCCTGCTCTCGCTGTCTCTCTCTGTCCAATAAATAAATAAAATCTTTAAAAATAAATAAATAAAAATAAAATAATGTAATATTCTTATCAAATTCACAGATGATGAAAGTCAACAGGGTTTCTGAAATTTCATAAAAGTAGAGTACATTTTCAGAGTTTCTTATTTGTTTTTTTAAAAATACAGGTTTCAGGGCACCTGGGTGGCTCAGTCGGTTAAGCGTCTGCCTTCAGCTCAGGTCATGATGCCCAGGTCCTGGGATCGAGCCCTGAATAGAATTGGGCTCTCTGCTCAGCGGGGAGTCTGCTTCTACCTCCCCCTCTGCCCCTCCCCCTGCTCATGCTCTCTCACGCGTGCTTGTGCGCTCTCTTTCTCTCTCTCTCTCTCTCTCTCAAATAAATAAATCTTTTTTAAAAATACAGGTTTCAGGGTACCTGGGTGGCTCAGTTGGTTGAGCGTCTGACTCTTGGTTTCAGCTCAGGTCATGATCTCAGGGTCCTGAGATAGAGCCCCGCATTGGGCTCCATGCACAGCGGTGAGTCTGCTTGGATTCTCTCTCTCCCTCTTCCTCCTGCCCTCCCCCGACTCACGTGTTTTTTTTTCTCTCTCTCTCGCAAATAAATAAATCTTTAAAAAAAAATACAGGTTTCAGAGTGAGTCCTACTCCAAGACCTAACACTTTGTCATAGTCGGCATTGCACAGCTCGGAGTTGTGGTATGGTACCCGTCTTCCTTTCTGTATCTTAAGGGAGAGTAAGGGATTCAAAAGATTCAGTGAAGTTTAAAAACAAAAATATCAAAAGATGAATATGAGCCCAGCAATAAGATATATGAGGGAAAAGTAGGGGGCTAGTTATTTCACTGGAAGAAAATTAGGGAGAGTGCTTTAATAACGGTCTCGAGACAAGGAAGGAGGGCTGGTTGCTTACCAGCTATCTTGCTTTCACTTAGGGGGAGAAACTAGTGTTTTCAAACCCTACAGTGCCTCTGAATCACCCCTGGGGTCTCATTAAAAGGTGGGTCTGGGTGGGACCCAGGGCTTTGCATTTCTAATGAGCCCCAGCATCTCTGCCCCTCCCCACTGCGCACTGAGCAGAACTGAGGCGGGAGAAGGAGCGAGCGAGCGAGAACGGCACGCGATCTGGGCACTCCCGCTGGATGGGCCACAGGGGGGGCCTGCAGCCTCGGTCAGTGCACCTGCTTGGGTGTAGAGCGTCGCCCAAGCAACCACCGCCGTCGTACTTCTTCGGTTCTTCCAGTTCATTGAGTCTAATTTCATGGTGTCAGTGAGTGTTACGCTTTTTCTAAATGTGTTTATTTGATATGCTAAAAAGCCACCCGTTTCCATGGAAACTGGCACGTAATAAAAATGTGGTACAGTCATTAAATCCAGTGCCTGATCATTGTTTTGGATGAAATGTCAAAGATCGGTTCCTAGAGAATACTAGGCCCAAAGTTAGGATTCTCACTGTTGCCCAAACAGCTGAGGCCTCTTAAAGCAAAACTGGAAGAATGGCAGTTTCTGCAGAGCCGGGTCTCGGCGGCGGCGCGCAGGGTTTGCGGGCGAGTCTCTGGGCCTGGGCACTGCCCCTGTTCTATCCTTGTGCTCGTTCAGTTTCTTCGCATGACCGCGCTGTGGACAAAACCTAACATTTTCATCCCTGTGAAAGTTATTTCCGTTTTTCCAGCCACTTGGAAGAAAGTTGTGACCAACTTGATGGTGATCTTATTGTCATAAGCATTCAGAAGTGATGGACAACAAAGGTTCTAACCACATCTCTTTTGAAAAGAAAAGCAGTGCTTTATCATCTTTTTTTTTTTTTTAAATGCCCTTCCTCAGTATCATCATTAACATTTTGTAGTTTTACTGCCTCCCTGTTTAGGGGTAGGTTTGTAATGTGTTCTGATCCCAGCATTAGTTTATGTACACATTTCAAAAAGACTGTAGGTTAGCCCTTCAATCGCAAACATATTCTCATACTCATGTATTTATAGCTGAATTTCCATTTTCTGTAGTTTCATTGTGTTTTATTTTCCTTGATGTAGTATGTAAAAGAGATATTTAAAATACAGCCCCAAATTTATGGATGATTTCTTGACGATTTCTGTTGGATTTATAAAAGTGACTTTGTCTTGAAATACAGTAGCTGCCTTCCATGAAAAACTTGCTTTCACATTAAGGTCAAAATTCCTGAGTTAATTTGGTTTTCTTTGGTTTGAAATGCATCTAAGTAAAGTTGCTTTTGTTTATTTCTTATCATGTGGTAGCTGTTAACTTTACTGTGAAATTTTGAAGATACGAAAAGTAATGGTAATGGTATGGTTTCTCAGACATGAGCTCAGAATTGACCTTATTCCCCTTCTTATCGCCATCCTTCCTCTTTTGCTAGTTCATAAATAAAAGTGTAGATTTCAAGAAACAAGGTTTCTGTTGATGACAGATTATCCTTTGCTAGTTTATTAATCATTTTGCGCCAGCCTGTGCCCTGTGTGTGTTCTTTCCTTTGTTCCTCTGAATTTCATCCTTGTCTTAATATTGTAATGTCTGTCAGATGCTGTCTAGATTGTAACTGTATTTGTAATTGCCGAAAATGCAGGGTAATAAGTAGGCATTTATAAAGTTGGGATTGAAAGTCTGGATTGGTGTTTTTTCCATAAGCCAGTCATACTATGATGTCTCTCAGGGAAGTGATAGACTTGTGGTATGCCCAAGTTTATCATATCAAGCCACAACGCAGTGTATTTTTCTGAGTATAAAGTATGATACCCTGGCTAGATCAGGAGCCTTTTATTTTCGTCAACTGGAAATTTACTGAACCTATGCAGTTTCGAGTACTGGGCCCAACAAGGAGATTTAAGATCTCCTCACTGGGTACAGTCCAAAGTTGGTGTTTTTTAACATAAATACCAATATCAATTTTAAGTGGAAAAGAGACGGGGAAGCATGGAGTGACAAGTCTTGGCCTTATAGTGGTGTACAGGCATCTTCTGGAGAAAGATCAGTTGCCCAGAGTGGCTGGGGCTCACAGGGAAGTTGTGGACATTAAGTCTGGAAAGGTTCGGCTTTACCAAAGTATATGTGTCCTTAAATTCCACCACCACCACCTGTCCAGAGATGTAGACGTTTCCGGGAGAGCTGAAATAAGAATTTTGAGTCAGCTCAGTAAAGTTTGTTTTGGGAAAATGAACCTGACAACATTGTATAAGGAGAATTGGAGAGAGGCTATAAACAGGAAAGCATCTTGAGAGTCCCAGCATGAGTTGACAAGGGCCTTGACCAAAGTAGAAAGGCCTGGAGGTACTGTTTGACTTTTCAGTCTGTATCATGCATTGCTTTGATTTTTTTTTTAATTAAGAAAAGAAAAGCATGGAGCAAAAATGGGTGATTTTACTATGCTGGAAATTGTTTTAAATGCAAATAAGCATTTGCATTAGTTTTTATTCCCTTTACACATTTGGATGTATCTTTCCTAGGGTGGCTTTGTCCTGCAAAGGGCGACTGTACCTCCCTTCCCTTCTGACACTGGGTTTCAGTCTGATGCAAAACTGGGGAGTCTGTGTTCATGCAGAACCCTCAGGCTTCCCAGAGTTAAGAGAGTAGATCTCAGGGGCACCTGGGTGGCTCAATTGATTAAGCATCTGCCTTCGGCTCACAGCTTAAGTCAGGCTCAGGTCATGATCCCAAAGTCAGCGGGGAGCCTGCTTCTCCCTTTCGTGCCCCCCCCCAGCTTATGCACGCGTGCACTCTCTCTCTCTCTCTCTTTCTCGCTCTCTCTCTCTGTGTCAAATAAATAAATCTTTTAAAAAAGAGAGAGAGAGGGTGCCTGGGTGGCTCAATCGTTAAGCGTCTTCCTTTAGTTCAGGTCATGATCCCAGGGTCCTGGGGGATCGAGCCCCACATCAGGCTCCCTGCTCAGCGGGAAACCTGCTTCTCCCTCTCCCCCTCCCCCTGCTTGTGTTCCCTCTCTTGCTGTCTCTCTGTCTCTGTTGAAAAATAAATAAAATTTAAAAAAAAAAGAGAGAGAGTAGATTTCACCCTAGCCTGTCATCATTGAAGGGGTGTGCTTGTGTGGGAAGAAACAGAAGTTGAAAAATTAGGGAATAAAGCTAGACAAAGAAAATCCTTTAATGCCTCCTGTAACTAGAACCTTTGGGGAGTGAGGTCCCAGGTATAAGCCCTTTGGTAAATAGACAACATTCACTCTTGGCTGACTTGAACTCTTTTTTCATGAAACTTAACCACATCCAAATGTTGGTCACTCCTCTGGGGAATTTCCTCCTCCTTTTGCTTCTGTGACATGCGGTTCTGTGGTTTTTCTCCTCCTTGTTGCTGCTTTTCTACATCTCCTTCCTCCCACTTCCTAAGTGTAGCATCAGCAGAGTGATCTGATCACCCTTGTGTTTCAAAACTTAATTCTGGGAGAGTGCGGATTCTGGAGAAGCAGGAAAGGCAGGAGGAACCGTTTCCAGGAATGATGTGTTACTGAGAAGCAAGGCAATGATAGAAGAGGCAGGTGTAGAAAAGGCCCCAACACAGCGGAGCACGAGTCTCCAAGAGTGATGGTTGCCTTTAGCAACATGGGAACCTTTGAATGGACTGGGTTGGCTACGTCGCACACAGCTCGGTGTGTGGTGGTGGCCACACAGCCAGGTTGCAGTGGCTCAGAGGCAGTGGGAATGCGGGCTTGGGGCCAGGGACAGCAGGTATCACCGAGGGTGCACTTAGTTGAGCGATTTTCTTTACAAGTTACTGGGGATAAATGGAGGGCATAAGTTGTTTTTTAATGCACTGTATTATAAATGACTTTTTTTAAAGATTTTATTTATTTATTTGACAGAGAGAGAGGGAACAAAAGCAGGGGGAGTGGGAGAAGGAGAAGCAGGCCTGCTGAACAGGGAGCCGGATGCAGGCTCCATCCCAGGACCCTGGGATCATGACCTGAGCCGAAGGCAGACGCTTAACGACTGAGCCACCCAGGTGCCCTTGAAATTAATTGTTGACTTTAGTAGTCAGCATTTCAGGACTCTGGGCCAGAGTGGTATATTAAGCTGTCTTTAGAAAACATGGCATATAAAATTGAGTTAGGTATAGAACTTCATCCTTTGATGGATCTATTCTCACTTGCTTAAGAATGAAGCTACTTACTCGTAAACTTGTCTTTTCTCCAGAACATCATATGGTAACTCTAAGAGTACAAATTAGACTCTTATGGCAAAATACAAGTGTCATTTTCCCTTCTGATATTAAACTAATTCGGAAGCTCTTTTTAAACACCCCTCCAACTTGTCAGTTGATTTAAATTATAGGAGTTTTATATACCATAGAGTTTGGAATTTAGTGTTATGCTTATATCACCTATGACCTTATATAATAACAAATATAATTTGTACATTCATGATCTACTTTTCTTGACTGTCTAACTCAGAAAAGCTGAGAGCCACACTTCCTGAGGGCTTTAAGAAATGTTTACAACGCCTGCTTATGCATGACTAAGAAATTTCGTATTCGTCTGGCCAAAGTTAGTCTATCAGCAGCTGAATTCAAAAAAATTAATGTAGCTTTTATGCTTTACAGGTCTCTAGTCTTACCCAGGTGGGTCATCACAGCCTCATATGAAATATGGCTGCTCGAATTTATCTTTCTTACTAAAGTTCAGAAAAATCCTTTGATTACTTCAGGGCAAAGTGTATATATAGATGCCTGAGAAATCTGTAGATTTGTAGAAATACGGTCATCAGGCGGGCCCTGAAACCACACGGGCCCCTGCTGGCATCGGCTTTGCGGTGTTGGTTCATGTGATCTCTGACACGTGGCTTTACCTCCCTAAGCCTCAGCTTTGCCAGCTTTACTTGTATGTCTCTTATTTTTAGAAGCATTTTTCTTATTACAAGATGATGATACATTTATTTAGCTTTGCCAGCTTTAAAACGGGGGCAGTAACAACAAAAACTATATATCCGATGCCTCAATTTGGGTCTGGCTTGTGTTAGGCCCTGAATAAAGTGTGTCTGTTATTGGGAGTTGTCATTTTGTTCTATGTCTGGCTGGTATGGTATTTTATTACAAAGACCCTGGAAATCAATTGGTTGATTTTCATCAACTTTTAAGAGAAAAAAAAATGTTCTCTAATCTACTAGCTTTTCCATGGCCCAAGATGAAGTTTGTCTCTTTACAGGCAGCCATTTGGCAGCTCTCCAGATGACTTGCTGTGTCCACATCCTGCAGCAGAATCTCCAAGTGATGAAGGAGCTCTCCTGGACCAGCTCTATCTGGCCTTGCGGAATTTTGATGGCCTCGAGGAGATTGACAGAGCTCTCGGAATACCCGAACTGGTCAGCCAGGTATGCACCGAGGGAGGCTGGTGGGGGCCCAGCACTCTCATGGGCACGAAATTGTCCATTATCGTTTGCTTAAAGATGATTTGCAGTCTGCTTTTTAGAATACTTCTTTATCTCATAACAAGCTAGCTCTCTTTTCTTTCTTGCCTTCCTTGTGACCCCCACATAAACTTTTGCCCGGGAATGGAAAACACTAAAAATGTGCTTTACATATAATTCAGGTTACTGAGCTGAAAAGCAGAAAGTCTGGGCCAGCTCACCTAATGACAGGGAGGGACCCATGAGGAGCAGAGAACAGGGAAGTCAAGAACGGAGCAATGGCCTAGAACACTTTCGTCTAAAAAACCAGTCAGCATCCATGATCATCCTATTAAATCTTTTTTTTTTTTAAGATTTTATTTATTTATTTATTTATTTGACAGAGACACAGCAAGAGAGGGAACACAAGCAGGGGGAGTGGGAGAGGGAGAAGCAGGCTTCCCACAGAGCAGGGAGCCTGATGCGGGGCTCAATGCCAGGACCCTGGAATCATGACCTGAGCTGAAGGCAGACGCTTAACGACTGAGCCACCCAGGTGCCCCGATCATCCTATTAAATCTTTACATTAGTGGGCTGGTGATAGGAGGTATTGTACTAAAAGAATACTTTGCACATAAGTTAGCAGAAGTCATTTTAGAAGTAGCTGCAGTTCATTAGTCATTTTTACCTTTGTGTGGGTTGATATTTAAGCATAAATGGGAATATAAGGAAGTTAACCAGTCTTAATGTGCTTATTTAGCTTTCCTCCTCCTGATAATTAGTTGGTTAAAGTAATTCTCTGCTTTAAAGAGTACTTTACAGCAATAATAGAATAAACAACCTAGCATAGTCTCATGCAATAACGTAGAATTTTCTGTATTTGGCTACCCAGCTAAATTTGCGGGAAGCAGACATCCTGGTTTACTTTGTAAAGAGTAACAACAGCCACACATTTAGAAAAAAAACAATCACAGTCTTGGTACCGTCTTCCTCCTTTCTCAGCAACAAAAATCCTCTTTATTTCTTACTGTTGGAAAGGACCTTCCCGTGTGCAGGCTAGTTCTCGGAGGTGTGGCGTGTCGGGAGGGTCTGTCAGAGGCCATGCAGAGTCATCGGGGGCTTCTCTGAAGCACAGGAACAGTACTGTCATCCTGCCCGAAGTATAGCAGACGTCGGGGGTAGGGGGTGAATGAAGACTCGTCAATTCATATCGAGAGCAGCAGAATGGAAAGAAATAGAAATGACTTGAGAAGGTTACATGATATAACCTGAAGTAAATCGAGAAAGGAGCATGGAATTTAAGTGTTTCCTGTGGGTTGGCTCTGCTTCAGCGGTAGTTAGAAGTCAGCCTCTTCAGTATTGTTATCCTCGAGTTTTGTCCAAGTGACATTTAAAAATGTGGCTATTGGGACTGCTGAGCGACTTATAGCACTTGTTTTTATCAAAGCTAGTGTCATCTCCTCATTAATATTTTTAGTCTCCTTTCTTTATTTGTCTTCTATTTTGTCTCATCACATCCATCATCATTATAGTATCATCATATTAAACTGAATTATAGAAACATTATTCAGTGGAGTCAGGGGAAATGGAGAGTACAAATGGATTTATTTGTACGCATCAGAGTTGTGTGTTTTATTTAAAAATGGAAATTACTGGGGTGCCTGGGTGGCTTAGTCGGTTAAGCATCTGCCTTCATTCAGCTCAGGTCGGGATCCCAAGGTCCTGGGATCGAGTCCCACCTCCGGCTCCCTATTCAGCAGGGAGTCTGCTTCTCCCTTTCCTGCTTCCCCTCTTGTGTTTTCTCTCTCTCTCTCTCTGTCAAATAAATAGTAAATTTTTAAAAATCTTTAAAAGTGGAAATTATTTAATTAAATTTCTTCTCTGTTAAAGATGGGCAAATATTTCAAGTTCGGAGATAGTTTTGTAGGTGTAGCTAGGGCAGTAATTCAATAATGAATGGTTTCCCCTGTGTAGGTTCCATCCACATCTTTAACACTGTGCTGGAGAGGGCAGCGGGCCCAGTTCTCACAGGTGGGCCTCAGGGCCTCGCTGACAGTGAGCCCAGGATCCTGGGCGATGCCTGGCCCCTGCTCTAATCTGGATAGACTGGTCTGAGTGAGGCCTAGGACATGACTAAGCAAAAGAGCTTTTGTGATTGGGTCCTTCCCTCCTTATATCCAGAGGTTTGGAACAATCATCCTAGAAATAGAAGAAGGAGAATTAGCCAGGTACGCCTTTATCCTAGACACAGACATTCAGAGGCCACCCGGGTCTGAGGTGCTCCCCCTTGCATTAGTTCTGGATTTTCTACACCTGCCTCATTCTGACCCAGATAGATAAGGAAGCCTTAAGAAGTCAAGAACGACAAACACATTAAATACGTCTAGTAGGTAATAAGATGGTGGCAAACTGTAGGAAATTCTGTCAGCCACAGAAAACAGTGACATAAAGGCAGTGTATCCCACTGGTGAAGAGCTCGGGTGCTGAATCACAAACCGGATTGGAACCCACTACTTAACTAGCCAGATGGACCTGCTGCAATTTGCTTCACATCTCCAGGTCTGTTTTTGTTAGCTGCAGAATGGGAATAAAGGTTGGTAGGTACCCCAACACTGCTGACCGCAGCTAGGCACCAAGGTGGTTGTCTAAGTAAAATGATTTTACAGGTATGAAAAATCAGCGAGAAAAGGTAACATTTCTAGGGGACATCCGCAATTTAAAGTCCAAGTCAGTCTCTGCTTGGCAGAGTGAGGAGGAGGAGTCCCGTAGTCATGGCCTCGTTCTACCCTCCTTGGAAGAAGTGTTGCTGGGAGTCAGGCCCAACCCCGCTTCTCTCCTCACAGACGTGGGTGTGTTGAACAAAGATATTCTCTAGGAAGAAAAGTGGTGTCAAGCTAAGTTCCTTTGAGTAGTAAATGTAAAAGGCGTCAAATACATGACAGTGAGAGAAAATCACCTTATATTTACTCTGTTGTTTTTAGTGGTTTTATTTGTTTGTTTGTTTGTCATCTGGGGGCTTTCTCTTCAGAGCCAAGCAGTAGATCCGGAACAGTTCTCAAGTCAGGACTCCAACATCATGCTGGAGCAGAAGGCTGCTGTTTTCCCACAGCAGTATGCGTCCCAGGCACAGATGGCCCAGGGTAGCTATCCTCCCATGCAAGACCCCAGCTTTCATACCATGGGCCAGCGGCCTAGCTACGCCACACTCCGCATGCAGCCCCGGCCAGGCCTCAGGCCCACGGGCCTGGTGCAGAACCAGCCAAATCAGCTGAGGCTCCAGCTGCAGCATCGCCTCCAGGCACAGCAGGTATGCTCTTCGCGGGGGCCTGGGAAGGTGGTGGGCGGGGGGCACGTTGACATGCTGGCATAACCATCTTGCGTCCTTGGGGAGGGCTTGATGCTCATCCCATCCCTTCCAGGATGATCCTACGTCTCCTGCTCTTTTCTGCCTTACTGATTTCCCTTTTGCCTCTTCTACTAACTCCACTCCAGCACAGGGTAGCTGTCCTTCTGTTTTCCAGCCCTAGTATTTATTAACAGTGTAGCCTTGAGTTCTCCGAGCCTCCATTTTCCTGTCTGTAAAATGGGGCTGTTGTGTGGTGTAGCGCAAAATGTATGTGAGTACAAGGACCTCATGGTTTCTCACCCAATGTGAGCACTCAGGACAACAATAATCCTTAGGCCTGTCTTATGACAGAAATAGTCACTCTTAGCTGAATGGTGGCAGAGCAGTGCTGCCTTATGATACCTAGTTAGCTCAAGAAAATGTGTTCTCATTGAAACAAGCCTAGACAGAGTCCTATAAACAGTCCAAAATACCTTCTCTGTTAAAAACAATGTAAAACCTTACTGATAATTAGCTTTCTAAGGGAATTCAGCTGTAAACCATGTGGTTTCAGTATCTAATGGCATTCAGAGGTTATGTTGGGAGGGTGATTTCTCAAGAAAGGTGATTTAAAATATACTCTGTTTAAAAAATGTATTGATTCTTCTGTGTGTATGCATTTAGAATCGCCAGCCACTTATGAATCAAATCAGCAATGTTTCAAACGTGAACTTGACTCTGAGGCCTGGAGTACCAACACAGGTAAGGGGCAGACCAGCCATCAGCTTTCACAGCATCTATTGAATTTCTCTATCATTTCTTCCTCCTTGAGATTCCGTGCAAAGTAACTCAGAAGGCCATACGACCATGGATCTGTTAGGTCATTCAGATGTCCATCTAGCCTGTCGCATTTTTTTTTTTTTTTTTAAGATTTCTTTATTTCAGAGAGAGAGCAAGCTAGCATTCACACTGAGGGGAGGAGCAGAGGGAGAGGGAGAGAGAAACTCAAGCAGACTCTGCGCTGAGTGCAGAGCCCAACACAGGGCTCGATCTCACGATCCTGAGATCATGACCTGAGCCGAAATCAAGAGTCGGGTGCTTAACCAACTATGCCACCCAGGCGCCCCTATCCTGTCACTTTTGTAGTTCCCTCCTAAATACTGCCATTTTCACTGCCAGGTACAGTCGATTCTCATTATTTACTTTTGTTGTGTTCTCTAAAGTTAATTAATGCAAACATTGAATTAGTGAACTGGAGAAATCAAGGGTTTGGTTGCTACCAGCCTGTGGTGACAACATCGTTGTCAGTCCCTCAGTCAATATCCATGTTTCGTGTTGTGTTTCGGTTTGAAGACACCTTGTGTAATATATATTATTGATTTGTTACCTTGAACTCAGAGACAGCAGCGCTGTGACTCTTGCCTGAGTGAAACTCATCTAACACGTGTCTTCCCCATAAGGCACATCACAGCCTCTTGCATTTAGGAACACGGGGCAGCACTTTAGCACTCCTCTTAGGAACCATAGTAAACAGCAAAATCACCAGGGAAGAGCACAGCAGAGTGAAAAACGTGGAACTGAATAGTCCACAAAAAGGGCACTTCTTTCCAGTATGAGGCTGAGACAAGAAGGCAGAGTGTTGCCTTGTTTCACCCTCAGGTGGGAATGAACGCACCTTGGACATCTCAAATTTTTTGCCTCTCGGGGCGCCTGGGTGGCTCAGTCGTTAAGCGTCTGCCTTCGGTTCAGGTCATGATCCCAGGGTCCTGGGATCAAGCCCCGCATCGGGCTCCCTGCTCGGCAGGAAGCCTGCTTCTCCCTCTCCCACTCCCCCTGCTTGTGTTCCCTCTCTTGCTGTGTCTCTCTCTCAAACAAATAAAATCTTTAAAAAAAAAAATTTTTTTTTTTGCTTCTCTGCACCTGTCCATAAATAATGGCATTGCTGTGAATATTGAGTTGGGGGTTACAAGCAAGTAGGTGAGTTCACCAATATGGAATCCATGAATAATGAGGATTGACTGTGTATTGCCAGGACCCCATAAACAGCCTTATGCCTCTTGCTGGCAGCAAGCATCGGCACCCCTTCCCTGCATCCATCCCTCCTTTCCTCCTCCTCGTTCTGCCCTGGCCTCTTCTGTATGTTCCTAGCACCGCCCCACACACACACACACGCTCCCTACTTTCTTCCTGCCTCTGTTCAGCCTTTTCCGATGGGCTTCAAGCCACATTTTGGCACTGATGATTTGGTTTCCCTTTAGACCTGAATGTCCCTTGCATGAGACTCCAGATTGCCATCTTTAAGGTTTATATGACATTGGTCTTACAGATAGGACTGGTATTGTGAGGTCCTTCAGTTAACCGTGCCTCTCAGAGTGAGTTCCAAGTTAATTGAACCAACACTGAACTTACCCATGTAAGTCATTGCAAGGTTTCAGAAAAATCTTTATCTCTTAGAATTTAGAAGCTCACATTCTTACCCACCAATTGCTCAACTCTAAAATGTTCTTTCCCTGTAGTTTTATTTTCCAAATGATTTGGTCCTGTTTCTAATATACAGTTTGTTTTTCAATCTGTGTCCTCCCCCAATGTTTGCCTCTGTGTATTCCCTACCTCACCCCCATTTTAGGCACCTATTAATGCACAGATGCTGGCCCAAAGACAGAGGGAAATCCTGAACCAGCATCTCCGGCAGAGACAAATGCATCAGCAGCAGCAAGTTCAGCAGCGAACATTGATGATGAGAGGACAAGGGTTGAATATGACCTCGAGCATGGTGGCTCCTGGTAGCTTACCAGCAACTCTGAGCAATCCCCGGATGCCCCAGGCAAATGCACAACAGTTTCCGTTTCCTCCGAACTACGGTACTGGGCTTCCATCCCCATCACCTTTCACCAGCCCTTTCTCCCCAGTGTCCCCCGGTCTTGGGTCTCAGCTCCTCTCTCACAACTCTTTGTATGGCTGTCAGATGAGTCTGGCTAACTAGGGAATGATAGGCAACCTGGGAGGACAGCTGGGGCCTGTCGGGAGTCCCTAGGTCCAGCACAGTACCTTCCAGTCTCTCAGCTCAGGTACCACCTTTTCTCTGAGTGCAGGTCTTACTTTAAGAATGACCGAAGTAAGTGTGCGTGTGTGCAGTCCTACAGTTGTGTGTGTGAGTGTGTATGAATATACATGTTTCTGTCAACATCTGTACACACAGGTGCATATGTATGTACTTATATTTGAAAACCTCTGAGTCTGACTCAAACAAATCAATAGTTATATACAAAATGTTGAAAGACCTATATAAATGCAAGTATTTGACATTCTATAATTTTTGAAAAAAAGATGATACCAAATCTTTAATGAATAGGTAATTCCTGAGGTGTTCTCTAGAAACCCCAGGGGAAGGCCTCTTGGTTTTCTTCATATTGATTTGTTATTTAATGTCAGTCTTAAGAGACAGACGTGTAATGTCGTAAACGTTAATATTTGTGTGCATGTCATGTTCAATTAATGGTTGAATTATTGATAAAAGTAAGTGCTTATATTATTAATATTCTTAATGATACCTGTCTTTTGCCAGAGTTATATATAAATATCAAGTGTGTGTGGTGCTGTTACATGTATGTCTCCTGTTTCTTAAACAGATACTGTGCAGCTTTTTCTATGTGATCATAAACTTTTCTTTCACAGCTAATCTAAGTATCAATTAAATCTGCACATTGCACACATCTGGGCAGAAACGCTCTTCCCTTACTGTCCTTGAAATTTTCTGAGTTGCTGCCTTTGTTTCGAAGCTCCTTTCCTCTATGTCCTTTTTGATGACTTCAAAAAGTCTTCTAAAAGTTCTTCTTTTAGTGTAAATGCCATTTGCTTCTAAACTGAACAAGAAGCTTACGTTGAATTTTTTTTCTGATTCTTGCTCATCTTAGATGTGCCGTAGAGGCCTTTATAGAGACGAAACAAGCTAATCGTGATGCAGTTTTTAAAAATGCATTGATTTCATCACAGAATGACTTGATTCAATAAAAAATTATTCAGATGTGTTAACTTTTTATATATAGCTGAACTTTGATTTAAAGTTTAAACAATCCAATTGTAGTGGTATATAAAAATTTAAAGACTATTTCAGGTAAAAAATATATCTGTTTGACTCATTCTTGATTTGGACAGAGATAAGGGGAAGGAACACTATTTTCTCTTTCTCTAGTCATGGTGGTTAACATGGATCTTAGGCACCCTTGTGACTACTGTAGAGAAGCAAAATATGGAAATTTTTTGCTTCGCGCATTTTATCCCAGTTTGGAACCTGTTTAAGGTGTATATAATTAACCAGCATGTGATCAGGTATTGAAAGTAATTTTCTATGTGTAATTTGAATGTTCTCTTTTTTTCTTCCTAGTCTCTACCATAAAACTAACAATCTCCTTTGGATTTCTGTTTTATTTTTTAAGGAATAAGTCAGCAACCTGACCCAGGCTTTACTGGGGCGACAACGCCCCAGAGCCCTCTGATGTCGCCCAGAATGGCACATACCCAGAGCCCCATGATGCAGCAGTCTCAGGCTAATCCAGCCTACCAGGCCTCCTCTGACATGAATGGGTGGGCGCAGGGGAATATGGGTGGAAACAGGTATGCCATGTTTCTGTGTCACTTTGATGTAAATGATCACCAGGGAATCTTTCTATAGACCACCTATCACTTTTCAGTATTTTTCCCTTTTTTTTTTTTTAAACTAAGTAAGCTGTACGTCCAACAGGGGCTTAAACTCACAACCCTAAGATCAAGAGTCACATGTTCTACCAACTAAGCCAGCCAGGCACCCATCTTTTCTGTTTTTTTTCTTAACTTTTTTGCTCAAGCAAGCAATGTCAAATAAACTACTAATTAAGGAAGTTTACTTTTCCTAGGGCAGAAGTTATCAGAATTTACAAAAGCTTAGCATATCTTTTCCTTAGGAATAAAAGGAGCTCCCATCAGAAGGTATCACCCCACCAATTTAAGCTAGAAACTGCTCTGGAAGGCGGTGCCCTAGAAGCCATCCTTTATCAGTACATGTAATAAAAACAAACAAATGAAAAGCTTGTGGGTGCAGACATGAAAGTGGAAAATATATCTCTAGACCTTCCTGGTGACCTTAGGAAAAGGAGAGGAGCGTGGTCACCCCTGCTGGCTGCCTCACCCTGGGTTCTTTCAGCCTAGACTTATTCATTCTGAAGTAAATGAAGTAAATGCCTGAGAAGCAAGTGTCAGAACTGCCTGCCTGTTTGCCCTACCAACTCTTGACATTTTCATCTTTTCCTTATGTTCTAGCATGTTTTCACAACAGTCCCCACCACACTTTGGGCAACAAGCAAACACCAGCATGTACAATAACAATATGAACATCAATGTATCCATGGCGACCAACACAGGTGGGATGAGCAACATGAACCAGATGACAGGACAGATCAGCATGACCTCAGTGACCTCCGTGCCTACGTCAGGGCTGTCCTCCATGGGTCCTGAGCAGGTGAGCACCCTGAGAAGCAGCCCACTGTCTTCTGATCATAACTTTTTGTCTGTTTCTGCGTTCTGCCTATCTTTCCATGTATTTAACATCCACCATCGACTCCCACATGTATTTTGATGAGTGTTTTCTCACCTTACTTTCACCTGTGTTAGTGCAATTAACAGATATACTTGTTAATGACGAAATAAACATGAAACGATTCTTGACTACTCAAGGATCTTTTAAAATACTTCTTAACTTTGTCACTTAAATGATTTCTTACTTGAGGAACTTAGCAATATCTAAAGTGACTCTCTAAAAATGGAATGGCGAATGTACTTCTTAAATAGCTTTATTTTGGATTTATAGTTTAAAAACCGATTTTCTTCTAAATGAAAAACCTGATGAACCGCAAAGGCCAAACTTCCTGCCATCCAATTAGCTTTATTCCCCACCCTACCCCCCGCCTGTCCCCATCCAGTCAGCTTTAAATGATACTTCACTCGTGCAGGGAGACTGACACCGATCGTCCAAAAACTATTCTCATTATCATCTTGGGGGTGTGAGTGCCGTGGTTTTCTGGTCAGTATTTTTTAAAGAATTCTGCTGGGCGCCTGGGTGGCTCAGTCGGTTGAGCGACTGCCTTCGGCTCGGGTCATGATCCTGGAGTCCCGGGATCGAGTCCCTCATCGGGCTCCCTGCTCAGCAGGGAGTCTGCTTCTCCCTCTGACCCTCTCCCCTCTCGTGCTCTCTATCTCTATCTCATTCTCTCTCTCAAATGAATAAATAAAATCTTTAAAAAAAAAAAAAAAGAATTCTGCTTAAGACTAATTCTGACTAAGACTGTGATGATTCTACTATCCCTAAGAGCATACCAGCTTCACTTGGTGGCAAAGAGACTGAATGCATTGATATCTCAGGTAGCCAGCCTAGGATTGAGAATCTGTGGTAGCTGATCCACAGGTGAAGATATTAGTTAATAATTTTTAAATTGTATTTCCAGAAGACCTTATTTCTAAAGGGCACAAAATGCTTGGCATTCTACTACCTCAGTAGTACATGCAAAGTAGAGATGTGGCAAAGACCCTGAGTCTTATTTCATGTATGGAGAAATCAAGGCATAGGAGGTTTAAATGACTTAATAATTCACTGACAGAACTCTACATTTCAGTTAGATCATATTTGTGAGAATGGTGAAAGATTCGGAGTTTGATTAGGTCTATTTAAGCTAATATTGGCAAACCACAATTTGTGTGAAAATTTTACTAAATTTTACAGCGCCTCAGTGTTTTATTCTATAAGAAGATGTTAATAAAAATGCAGAGTAGTGCATGAGAAAATTTAAAGCCCTTTGCAATTTAAGAAAGCTCTGTGTGTGTAAGAATTTGCACTTCTTATAGTTGAATTGATGCTTATTTGGGTAAATTAAACAGACATATTTAAAGATAGACTTTTGTCTTTCCAATGGAGAAAATGTAGTGTTGATTTTGAATTTTGTACAAAAAGGGACCAGTAGTGGTTCCTGATTTTCTTCCTAGGGAAACTGTATAAAGCAAGGGCCACTGAGATGGTCTAGTCTAGCATGGGTCCTGCACAGCCTACCTGGAAGTAAATCAGTGCATTTTTAATAATCCAGATCATGTCTGCATAGAAACTTGTGCATAGATTTAAACCTTTTCAATATCAAAGTTAATTTGGAAGCCCAAAAAATACAACTGTAGCGTATTTCTTCAGACAAAATCAGTCCTGTACAGTATTAGTATTACCTTTACTTCATAATTTGTGAAAGAATTGTATGAATGCTAATGAATAGTTCATTTGGTTGTAGAAGATTTCCAAAATTCAGCACTATTGGGTACTCAGACCTACTCTTCCTAATCAATAACTTGCCTGAGTAACAAAGATATTAGGAGCTTCTCAGATGATTTTAAAGTCCCACATATGAGTCATTGGTCTCATTGGAACCAGCCAAAAAGGTGAACATGTTAAGGCATGAAAATGTTTCTAGTATTATTGTCTCTGTCAAATTTCTACACAGAATGCAAATTTTAATTTGGAAGGCAGTTTAGTGTAAATATTTATTTTCTTGTATCTCCATACTCCCCCCAAAATCTATACGTGGGGAGATTGGATACAGGGATGGAGCCGTTTTTATATAGTCATCTTTCCCCATAATTCTATTCCTGAAAACCAAGATGAGGAGGAAGATTGATGGTTGGTTCTTACTCGCTAGTACACTTTTGGACATCCCACTGAATATAGCCATTGTACCGTCTTGTGCCCTCAGGTTAATGATCCTGCTCTGAGGGGAGGCAACCTTTTCCCAAACCAGCTGCCTGGAATGGATATGATTAAGCAGGAGGGAGACGCATCACGGGTAAGAAACAGCAAAGAAACATGTGAATAGGGTAGTATAGTGACATGGATATTTTATAGACCAAAACTGACAGATACGTTGTCAGCCAGTGGATTGAAGATAGTTGTAACGCTTGAGATTTTTTAAAAATATCTTGTAATTTTATCTGACATACAGTGGTTTTCCGTGAATAATTATTTCTCTAAGCTCATTTTAATTAGAGCTAATGGTGGTGTGTGAATTAAGAACACTAATTTTGCTCTGAAATGATATTATTATAGCAAAGCAAAAAAAGTAGCAATGAAATCAGTCACGTAAGGGCAAAATGATTTATTTTTACTTTTTCTGAATCATAATGTTAGATTTTCAGGACGATAAAGAGGAGCTAACTTACAATTGTTCTCTATCCCTTAATTAAGTGTACGTTTATTCTTTTTAAGAGTTTTTTCTATATTTCATTTTCTTTAGGCAACAGTCATGTATATTATTTGCCTATTATCTTCAACACTTGTTCTAAGGAGAGTGATATTAACATGTTCAATCAGACCTTGAAAAAAAATAATCGGTACTTAGAACCCAACTGAACTGTGTGCCTAGTAGCAGATCTGTTAACAGGAAGGCTCTGTGAGCAGTTTAGCACATAGATAAATGGGCCTGCGGGGCCCTCTTAAGGTAAGGGATATAATCCTTAGCAGTAGATAACTTTTTTTTAAGTTAAAAATTCTCTCTCAGTGGAGAAAATGTAGGATCGATGTTCAATTTCTTGCCAAAAAGTGGATCTTGGATGGTTTTGTTAATACCTAAATTTAAAAAGTAATAGATCCAGGGGCGCCTGGGTGGCTCAGTTGGTTAAGCGTCTGCCTTCGGCTCAGGTCATGATCTCAGGGTTGTGGGATCGAGCCCCGTGTCAGGCTCTGTGCTTGGCATGGAGCCTGCTTGAGATACTCTCTTCTCCTTCTGCCCCCTCTTCTCTCTCTTGCTCTCTCGCTCTCTAATTAAAAAAAAAAAAAAAAGTTTTGTTTTTTTTTTTTAAACGTAATAGATCTAGGGATGCCTGGCTGGCTCAGTAGGTAGAGCATCTGACTCTTGATCTCTGGGTCATGAGTTCAAGCCCCATGTGGGGTGTAGAGATTGCTTTTTTTAAGTAATCTAGATTTAAAAACACAGTGTGTGAATTTTCTGTGTGGTTTTTCTGGTTTAAAGAACCACAGTCGGGCGCCTGGGTGGCCCAATTAGTTAAGCATCTGCCTTCAGCTCAGGTCATGATCCCAGGGTCCTGGGATCGAGCCCTGCATCAGGCTCCCTGCTGAGCAGGGAGTCTGCTTCTCCCTCTCCCTCTGCCCCTTTGCCCGCTCATGCGTGCTCTCTCTCTCTAAGAAATAAATATTAAAAAAAAAAAAGCCACAGTCATCATGGCAGAGAGGCCCATGGGTGGAAGTCCTGTAGGTGTTTTTTGTAAGTACCCAGATGCACAGCTCATCTAAATGGTTAATGTTGCTATAGTGAGTCATACAGAAAATAGGAATATATTTCATATTGACCATGTGTTTAGACTCTAAATGTGCCACTTATTGAAGTTTGAAGCCCCTTAGGAGGCTGGCATCTTCTTGCTGCCAGTCCTGCCTCCCCCACCACACCCCCACCCCGCTGCACCTCTACAGAGAGTGGCCACATAACTCAGTGATGGCTTGTGTGCAGAAAGTAGAAGCTTAAAACCTGGGATGGTGCTTCCCAGGGGAGCAATGACATTAGTGGTAATTAGGCTTCTACTAAAGGATAGCCCATTTTAACCCAGAAGTGCCCAGCTTAACCTCTGCGCACATCAGAGCTCTGTGGGAGAAAGAAAGCATTTGGGGGCCAGGATCACATTTCCCTCCCTGAACCCTCCACCTTCAATGTGACTATGTGCCAACCTAAGCCAGCGCCCCCACAGAGCAGGCACCCATAATCTTTTTTTTTTTTTTTAAGATTTTATTTATTTATTTGACAGAGAACACAAGCGGGGAGCGGCAGGCAGAGCAGGCAGGGGGAGAAGCAGGCTCCCTGCTGAGCAAGGAGCCCGATGTGGGGCTCGATCCCAGGACTCCAGGATCATGACCTGACCCAAAGGCAGATGCTTAACCAGCTGAGCCACCCAGGCATCCCCATAATCTTTTTTAGGTCTAGAAACAACCAACAGGTATTGAGCATTTACCACAAGCATGATTATCTGCTCAGGGCTTTATTTAGACTAGACCACTTAAACCACATCACCAACTGTATGGTAGAACTACTGTTTTGAGGGTTTAATGACTTACCCAAGGTCCCGAAACACCAGGAAGGGAACCCAGGCAGGCTGACCCCCAAGTGTGTGTTACCAGCCCCTGCACTTTACCGCTTACTTCCCCAAAGGGGACACGGAGCTCCCATGATACCTTTCTAAAGGTTTTATGCAAGTAACACTGGAGAAGGCCCCCAAAAAACAAATTGGTCGCTATTCCCTTCCCTCATTTTATAGATCCTGAAGGGAAAAGAAATATTCCCACATCCTGTAGGACAGGCAAACAGTAAAGATTCAGCTCCATATTGAGAAGAGTCCTCAGCTTCAGGCACTGGAATCACAGGAGGGAAAATCCTCTGACATCAGGAAAGGGAATGTACCATTTGGTCTCTAGTGTACAGGGACCATGCCGGGCCCATCAGATATTTAGGTCTTCGCAACACTTAGAGATGAGGAAACTAAATCTCAGAGGATTAGGGAATTTGCCCAAGCCCACACAGCTAGTGTGTGGGGGCATCTATCCTAGAGGGGAGGGGGACCTGGGCACAGTGTAAAGGAGAGGTAAAGGTGTAGGCAAGGTGGGCCAGGACAACCAGGGTATTGATTCATGCACATCTAGGCACCCATGGGTGCCCACTAAAACGAAAATGGAAAGATTAGCACCACAAAAAGCAACTTCCAACAAATACAGGATGTTCTCTCCATCACAAGTGCCTTTTGGGATCTGTGGCGAGAATGCTGTGCCTGTTGTCATCTAGCCTGGGCCATTCGTGCCCCTCCCACTTTCTCTGTTTTTCCCAGCCCCCCTCTTGAATCTTGCTTACCCATCTGTACTTTGTTCATGCTGAATGTTAAGGCCAGGGAACAGTCTGTCAGACACTCTTGTTTCCTCCAGAGACTAATATGTACAGTATATCCCTTCTAATCCATGAGTAAGAAGTGGCAATGTGACTCTGTACTTGTCACCATACTACTGATGTGTACACAGGGGAAAATGGTCATCTGCGGCCTCTTGTGTCTATAACTGGCCCTGCTACTATTGTGAATCCCGGAACTGTTTTCAGAATTTTTATTGGTAACCTCGTTCTATTTGTTGAGCTGGGAACCACTGTGATTCATTGTTAATTGAATCTATGTTCCACTTACCTTGAAATGGAGATTAAAAAAGTATACCTTGCTTAAAGCAGAGCTAGAATATACAACTGTGGATTTACCAAAACACCATTTAGAGAAGGGCAGTTATTTCATATCACCAAACATCCTTCCTTTTACAAGGACTTACAGTATGCCTCTATATTTTACATATACTTCAACTCATCAAACTGAGCTTATTGGTCAGCTGCACGGCCCTTGTATAAAGTAGAGCTGTAATTACTTGTACTTGCTTGTGTTACGGAAATCGATCTCTAACTAGGACCAGCTCTGAGGTGGGGGTGGTAATGATAGTGGCGAGGACATTGACCGAGCTCTTTCCGTGTTGTGAGGAGTACTTAAACACTTCATGTACATCATTTTGTTTAATCCTCACGACAGCCCTAGGAAGTATTAGGGACAGAAAGATTAAGTGACTCCCCACCCCCTGAAGTGACACAGCTGGATGCCAAGGCAAGCAGCGTTCCTCTAGAGATGCATGTCCTGCTCCACGTTCTCTTTCACTAACACTGATCCTTTTTTTTTTTTTTTTAAGATTTTATTTATTTATTTGACAGAGGGAGACACAGCGAGAGAGGGAACACAAGCAGGGGGAGGGGGGGAGGGAGAAGCAGGCTTCCCCTAGAGCAGGGAGCCCGATGCGGGGCTCGATCCCAGGACCCTGGGACCATGACCTGAGCCGAAAGCAGATGCTTATTGACTGAGCCACCCAGGCGCCCCTCACTAACACTGATCCTGCCTGAGAGCTGCTTGTTGGTGTCCATTAGTGTTAGAGAATACTGCCGCCTTCAAGTGGCTAAGGATAGGAATACTTCTCAATTTGTCTTTCCAGACTAACTGGAAAAATTGAAGGATTTTTTTTCCTGTTTCAGTCAGAGCCGTGGAGTATTTCTATATAAAATCATGTAAGTGACACAAACTAGCTTTATATTATAGATGAAGGACATTCACTGTTCTTCTCTCCGAGGAGCTGTAACCAGAGCGATCCTCGTGCGCTACATGTTGAGCTCGGGAAAGCCGCACAGCGGGCCAGGGGCGTAGCCCACCTGTGACCGCGACACTTAAGGATCTGGGGCAGTTCGCCCAGATCTCTCGTTTGAAGGGACTAAGTGAAACTTCCTCTCTGATCGGACTTAAACTAGATAATCTCTAGTGGCCCTTATGTGCTAACTGTGTCTAAATATCTAAATCCCAGAAGCAGTTGTTACTTGTTCGCACAGTAACCAGTACTTCCTCTCGCGTAACTTGGACCCTGCTGTTATTTCATTGTCTACCTGGCCCACTCAATGTTTTGATGGCAGTGACCAGAAATCTACCGTTATGGTGATATCCCCAGCACCTGGCACAGAGTAGATACTCAATATTTGCTACATGGATAAAATATCTTGGGGGGAAACATAGTCGGTAGCCAAAGAAAAGCACTGACACACACCTGCACCAACCAAGCAAACACCTGCACGTGAGTCTTGCTCACTCCAGCCCTCCGTGTTCACTCCTTCAGACTGTCAGTTCATAGCAGCCAGAAACTAGCATGAATGCCCCTGGAGCCAAAACCCTGCTTATTCAGCTTGCTGAAGCCAGGGAAACATCCCGTGGAACCTGGGGAGTCTCTCCACACGGGAGAGTCAAGACGGACATTCCGTTGAAAGTGGCTTTGTACTCGATGATTTTGAGGAAGGGGTAAGGAAATGGTGGCCACCTCTGAACAATGTTGTCCAAAAGCAAAGGCAGCTCGGCAACGAGGTATCAGTAATCTCGTTTGAGGAGGTGGGAGAGGTTGAACTGGTCTGGGAGGTCGCTGGGAAGAGAGCTGCAGTCATTCAGAAGGAGGGATTGGTAATCCACCGCAGTCCCTTGGTCTTCAAAGTGCTCTGTAGGGTCTGCCGGCCTTTGGAAATGATGTGTCCATTTAGGAACAGTGCCTTCCGCCTGTCTGCATCAAAATCAAGTGTAATTCAGCCAGATGCGGCCTTCGGGATTGGCAGTACTTAAAATGGCCACATATTCTGATGATTTCGTGATGAGCATTATGACGGTGTTACAGCAAATTCAGAGGTACTTCATGATTTTCTCTCTGTTTTCCCGCAGAAATACTGCTGACACTGAAGGTAGCTGGTTGCTTCTCTCTTCAGCTGACTGGGCTCACTTGCTTAAAACACTTACCAGCCTGGAGAGCTGTGTCTATTTGTTTTGACCCAGTCGACCTGCCAGCCAGTTCTGCCAGAGCCTGGTCAGCAGATGGACCTGGGCCCCGGCTCCCAGGGTGGGGTCCGCTTGGCTGTTGCAGGAGGGAGCTGCCTCTTCGCTTGACAGTCGGAAGCTCGCGTCCAGACAGTTGCTCAGTCTGTTCACTGCATTCACCTTAGTGCAACTTAGATCTCTCCTGCAAAGTAAATGTTGACAGGCAAATTTCATACCCATGTCGGATTGAATGTATTTAAATGTATGTATTTAAGGAAAACAACCATGCTCTTGTTCTGTTCCTGTTTGGTTCCAGACACTGGTTTCTTGCTTTGTTTTCCCTGGCTAATCAGTCTAGTGCAAAAGATTAAGATTTCATCTCGGGGAAAGAACAGAATTAAGGGGAAAAAGAAAATCAAACTAAAGGTGTTCTAAGCTAAAGCCTGTATTTGGGATAAAAGCAGAGCAGACACCATGGACAGCACTGTATGTACCGAGACACCCAAGAAGTGAAGACCAATAAAGTCAGAGTTGTATCTTTGTAGAAGCTCTAGAGACCATGTTGGAAAGAGTTTCCAGTTACCGAACAGATGAAAAGGAGCCTGTGAAGGGCTGTTAATATTAACAAGTGCTTTTTCCTTTTTTTTTTTCTTTGTCAAAATCAAACTAGTTCACCCAAATTGTGAATCAAGAGGAAATATTGTTCATTTTCAAACTAAGTTCCCTTTAGATTGCTCAGACAGTTTTGACTCGTACCTCTTCTTCCCCGTGTGATCCTGACTCTCTTCCCCCTCCACCCTTGGCTTTCCCCACTTCTCCCCCACATTCATTCATCTTGTTAAAAAAAAATGTTAAAAAAGCAACAGAAACCAGGTAAGCCCTTTATTTCCTTAAATGTTTTGCCAGCCACTTACCAATTGCTAACTATTAAATTTCAGAAAAATGCATTTACTGGCAAGGAGAGGAGCCAAGTCAGGACTTGATACCAATCAAACTAAGGATACCTGCTTTGGAAGTATGTTTATTCTGTTCCCCAGCAACACTGGCCTACAAAAACGGGCAAAAATAACAGTGTGTTTAAAATTGACAGCAGATATCACAACAGATTTAACCTCCGCCATGTGTTTTTTATTTTGTTTTTTAGCAGTGCTGACTAAGCCGAAGTTTTGTAAGGTACATAAAATCCAATTTATATGTAAACAAGCAATAATTTAAGTTGAGAACTTAAGTGTTTTAATTGTATAATTTTTGTGAGGTATACATATTGTGGAATTGACTCAAAAATGAGGTACTTCAGTATTAAATTAGATATCTTCATAGCAATGTCTCCTAAAGGTGTTTTGTAAAGGATATCAATGCCTTGATTAGACCTAATTTGTAGACTTAAGACTTTTTATTTTCTAAACCTTGTGATTCTGCTCATAAATCATTTATCTAATCTATATGATATGCAGCCGCTGTAGGAACCAATTCTTGATTTTTATATGTTTATATTCTTTCTTAATGAACCTTAGAAAGACTACATGTTACTAAGCAGGCCACTTTTATGGTTCTTTTTCTGGCCCACTCTGGTAGGGGAATAATCTTTTATTAATTGGCGTCCGTTTCAGACAACCGCAATACCGAGAAACTGATGGCCTTTTTTGAGCTATTTCCCCCCAACCCCTAATACACATACTTTCTTACCTAAATTTCAGAATGATGATGTCTTTTTGATGTCTAAAAAGCAAAGCATTTTATATCTCATTAGCCAGGCTTTTTAGGAACAGAGAGGTTTTTCCTTGAAATTTGATTGTTTATTTGTGGCAGGGTGGAAAATGTACCAACTACCCCTATTTCTATTTTTCTCTCTCTCTCTCTCTCTATGGGCAAATTAGGGCATATAGAAAGAGATACAGCCCAAAGATAAATGGTTAAGTAGACAGTCTGAAAGTGATGCTCCATACTAAAGAAATTTTCTGGAAATTTGCATTTCGATACTTTGTTCCACTTGAGAGGGGTCTCACTACAGGGAGGTGGCCAAGGAACAGCACTTCTCAGCGGCCACCAGTTCACGTTGTCCCCTCGAGAGGCTCTACTCGTCTCCACCGAACCACTGGGTTGCCCAGTTGAGATGGAAAAAAATGAGCAGATGTTGGCCCGGAACTCCATGACCTCATCGGTGTGATGAGGCTCACATGACACAGTTTACTGTGACCGGTTTTAAGTTGATTTTTAGAAATACGTGAATCGGAATGACTTCAACTTCACACAGCACAAAGGAGAAATGGAGTTTAAACTGGCTTTGTTTTGTTTTTAAGTCCCTTTCACTAGAACACTGTCCAAAAATCTGTGTATCTTGTATCGTTTACCCATCTGCCCACTGTGTCTTAATGTCCATCCCAATTCAGACAAATCTGCAAACCTGTGATACTGGTAATTTAGAATAATTCATGATTATTACTGTTTTGAAGGAAAAGAGATGGTAAATTCTCTTATGGCTCAGACCAGGTAGTGGATTTTGCTTTACATCTAATTAAAAGTCAGTGAAGGAATCCTCTGATCATATTGATCACTATAGAAGCAAAAGCCAAATCAATCCCCTTCATTATCAGTATTTCTCATGCTGTAAACAATAAATTTGTTAGACTGAGTACTTGGTTTTGTTTAATAGAACAAAATAATCAGTGTTTTACTTATATTACTAAATGTGAAAAACACATAATGTGAAAAGTATACATACATTAACTTGGTTGTAAAACTCATTTAAGTGTTCATGTAATGTGCTAAGTTTAAAAAGTGAAGTGAGCTGTTTTACTACAATGAATTCGTTCGACTCAAAGACTAAAAATGCCCCTCCCACGTGTATCTCTTAAGGCCTGTAATAACTGAAAGCAATGTTTTTGCAGTTTATATAATGCAATTTTTAATCTGTGTTTAAAAATGGAGTTCATATGGGCTTAACACATGAAATGGGTGGCACAGATCCACTTGCAGAACCCAAAGATACACAATCAATTTTGAAATGCAACTTAAGCCATTAATTGTTGGTGTGAATTTAAAATTTTCTAGTATTTGTATGGTAGTATGCTGCCTAAGAGCAAAGCATTCTCTGCACAAAAGAAAATTACTGTAGTGGCTTCGATTTTAATTAGAATTTTCTCCCTGGTGTTTCTTTATAGACTAAAACAAAATCTTTTAAGTTTCTTACTACAGGTAAAAGCTATGTGCAAGAACCTCAAAATGCTAAAATCTAGCATAATGCCTTAGATCTGTTTTTAAGTCTTGTATATTCCTACATAGCTGTCCAATGTATTATATTTGTATAGTGAATTGTGTACAATTTTTGAATAAGTGCATCATCACTTAACCTTTATGTTGTTGAATAGTGATGATGATACATTTCTTCAAACATTTAACTGTCATTTTTGTTCCTTTGTCATTTGTGGGTTTTATTTGTACAGTTCCTCATGAAGTTGCATCTGAGATGTGTGTATATGAAAAGATTATACAAGGGTAAAATTAAGCAATATATTAACTATGGTTCTTCAGGAGAAAGCTTACAGTGTTTCAGGTTGTGATTTATTTTCAAAATGGAGTTGACTCTGAACATCACTTTGTTCACCTGCATTGATGTTTGTATTTCTAGTGTGAGCAGTTTATGCAAAGGTAGATATATTCAGAGAAATTTTAAATACATTTATGCAAGTTAATATTGCTTTGCTGATGCTATTTGCTTATTTGATGTTAAATAATGCTATTGTAAATAAAGAATTCTGTTGTTATTGCATCATTTAATAAATTTTAATGCCTTCGGGTTTTACATGGCTTGGGAGATTTTAATGTGTTTATATTGTACCTTCATTCATAACTGCACTTAAGTTTAAAATACCTGCCCTGTAATTTAATCATCTCTCACATTCAGATGGTAGTTGACACCATTCCTGGCACCCTAACATTTGATTCCCCTGCTGACCCATTTTACAGATTTTTCAATTTGAAGCCGAGAGCTTATATCTTAAAATTGTCTAGCAACTTAATGGCAAATACCGGCTGAGTAGGCCCACTGAATCCCAGATGAGGTCACTGCGCTCCCCACCAGACTGTGCCACCTCTTATCCCCATCTCTCCAAAAACATGAGAACAGTGTGGACTTCTGACTGGTTACTGAGGTTATACGTTACATTTTAGAATATTTGTGATGGTCTTAATTGGTTGATTTGTTAATAGTTGATAAACGATATAAGCACAATTCCTAAAATCCGGGTCAAAGACTACAGGAAATACTAGTAAATATACTCTGGAATGGTGTTTTTAAAAGATAGAAAAACAACATGAGTGAATAGAAAATCTTGGGGCGCCTGGCTGGCTCAGAGCAGGTGACTTTTTTTTTTTTAATATTTTATTATTTGAGAGAGAGAGAGAGAGTACAAGTCGGGAGGGGAGGGCAGAGGGAGAGGGAGAAGCAGACCACCACCACCCCCGGACTGAGAGGGAGGCTAATGCGGGACTCGATCCCAGGACCCTGAGATCATGACCTGAGCCGAAGGCAGATGCTTAACAGACTGAGCCACCCAGGTTTCCCTGGGCATGTGACTCTTGATCTTGGGGCTGTGAGTTCGAGCCCCACTTTGGGTGTAGAGATTACTTCAAAAATAAAATCTTTGAAAAAAAATAAAACTCTATCAATGCTATTAACTATACTAAATCGAAGGAAAAAAACAAGATTAACTTTAGTAGATACCTTTGAACAAATTTGCATAGAATAAATTTCAGCCCCCTTTCATGAGAAAACCTCTAGGAAAAGTAAATGTCCTAAAGTTATTTAAGGTTATCTGATGCAGTCTCACTGACACATCTTAACGGTTAAATATTAAAAGTATTAAAGTTGGAACAAAACAAGGAGACCTCATTACCAATGCTGAGAAATGAGATATTACTACAGGAATAGAAAAGGTACAACATTTTTAGTCAATTTGACCCATCTATGCTGAAAACCCAAAGGAATCAACCAGCTATTGGAACGAATAAAAAGGCTCAGTCAGACAGCTAGAATATACATAAATGGATACCTCTGTCCACACTAAAAATCAATTTTTTCAAATCTCCACTTACAATAACAATAATACAATGCTTATAAATTTGGATTACAGCTAACACAAAGTGTGAAAGACCTTTGGTGAAGAAACTATAAAGTCTTACTTAAAAGACAAGGGGGGGCGCCTGGGTGGCTCAGTCGTTAAGCGTCTGCCTTTGGCTCAGGTCATGATCCCAGGGTCCTGGGATCGAGCCCCGCGTGGGGCTCCCTGCTCCGCGGGAAGCCTGCTTCTCCCTCTCCCACTCCCCCGCTTGTGTTCCTGCTCTCGCTAACTCTCTCTGTCAAATAAATCTTAAAAATAAAAAATAAAAGAAGGGAAGGGGCGCCTGGGTGGCTCAGTTGGTTAAGCGACTGCCTTCGGCTCAGGTCATGATCCTGGAGTCCCAGGATCAGTCCCGCATCGGGCTCCCTGCTCAGTGGGGGGTCTGCTTCTCCCTCTGACCCAACCCCCTCTCATGTGCGCTCTCTCTCTCTCTCATTCTCTCTCAAATAAATAAGTATAATCTTAAAAAAAAAAAAAAGGGGGGGAAGAAAAAAGATCCAGAAGACCTGAAAAAGTGGCGACATCTTGAACCCAGGAAAAA